GCCAAATATGAAGATTCTATACCTTTTAGTTCTTTAGAAGAAGTCGTTTGAAGTTTTTGACATATTTGACCCCTGTGACCTTGAAAACAGGTCAAGGTCATTTTCGTTCTCAAACTTTGTAGGGCTCCTACCAACGAAGCTTTCAGCCAAATATCATGACTCTAGGCCTGTCCGTTCTTCAGAAGAAGTTGTTTAAAGGAAAAGTTGACGGACGAGGACGGACGGACGGACGCCGCGCCACGGCATAAGCTCACTTGGCACTTCGTGCCAGGTGAGCTAATAACTGTCCAGGGCTGTTCAAACTTTTCACATTCGGAAAAGCTAATAAAAACAACTGTTCAAGATTTTACGAACTTTTCACATTACCAACAACTTACTGGAGATGACTTGATGAATTAAACTTTTTGTTTAATTTCCTTCATACAAAAATATAATTCATTAAATTTAATTTTGACCTTAAAACTATGACAGTGAACACCCTTCAGTTTTGTTGGCTGGTACTTCTGTGAAGAAAAAATATCCATCTTTGCAACAATACCAAGTATCTTTTTATACATCAACTGAAAATGTGACATATATGTTTATCTTTATACAATCATTTTTAATTGGGGGTGTCATTTTGACCGACATTTTTCTTTAACCCCTAAATGTCTTACTTTCTACACATCAGGATAGGTTGGAACATACCAAATAAAACATATTATCTGGTCCCTGTGGTTGTCAACTGTAACCGTGGTAACCTTCCTTAACCATCTGAGATGTTGACTGACTTGCCCAGAATAGTAACCTTGGTAACCTTACCTTAACCATCTGAGAAGTTGACTGACTGGCCCAGAGTAGTTATCTTGGTAACCTTACCTTAACCATCTGAGATGTTGACTGACTTGCCCTGAATAGTAACCTTGGTAACATGACCTTAACCATCTGAGATGTTGACTGACTGGCCCAGAGTAGTTACCTCGGTAACCTTATCTCAACCATCTGAGATGTTGACTGACTTGCCCAGAGTAGTTACCTTGGTAACCTTACCTTAACCATCTGAGATGTTGACCGACTTGCCCAGAGTAGTAACCTTGGTAACCTTACCTTAACCATCTGAGGTGTTGACTGACTGGCCCTGAATAGTAACCTTGGTAGCCTTACCTTAACCATCGGAGATGTTGACTGACTGGCCCTGAATAGAAACCTTGGTAACATGACCTTAACCATCTGAGATGTTGACTGACTGGCCCTGAATAGTTACCTTGGTAGCCTTACCTTAACCATTTGAGATGTTGACTGACTGGCCCAGAGTAGTTCCCTTGGTTACCTTACCTTAACCATCTGATCTGTTGACTGACTGTCCCTGAATAGTAACCTTGCTAACATGACCTTAACTATCTGAGATGTTGACTGGCTGGCCCAGAGTAGTTACCTTGGTTACCTTACCTTAACCATCTGAGATGTTGACTGACTGGCCCAGAGTAGTTACCTTGGTAGCCTTACCTTAATCATTTGAGATGTTGACTGACTGGCCCAGAGTAGTTACCTTGGTTACCTTACCTTAACCATCTGATCTGTTGACTGACTGGCCCTGAATAGTAACCTTGGTAACATGACCTTAACTATCTGAGATGTTGACTGGCTGACCCAGAGTAGTTACCTTGGTTACCTTACCTTAACCATCTGAGATGTTGACTGACTGGCCCTGAATAGTTACCTTGGTAGCCTTACCTTAACCATCTGATCTGTTGACTGACTGGCCCTGAATAGTAACCTTGGTTACCTTACCTTAACCATCTGATCTGTTGACTGACTGGCCCTGAATAGTAACCTTGGTAACCTTACCTTAACCATCTGAGATGTTGACTGACTGGCCCAGAATAGTAACCTTGGTAACCTTACCTTAACCATCTGATCTGTTGACTGGCTGGCCCTGAATAGTAACCTTTGTAACCTTACCTTAACCATCTGAGATGTTGACTGACTGGCCCAGATTAGTTACCATGGTAACCTTACCTTAACCATCTGAGATGTTGACTGACTGGCCATGAATAGTAACCTTGGTTACCTTACCTTAACCATCTGAGATGTTGACTGATTGGCCCAGAACGATATCCAGTTGTCAATGGTGATCTTTGTCCTCATGTCACCATCCTGTTTGTAAGAATCAACACTTGTGTACAAAGATAAATTTTTCATAAACCTTGCAAACACAAATTATTTTCTCATTGTAGTAAAGACATTACATCGGTTTGGAAACATTATTTATAAAATCTTCCTTCTTACTTATACATATACCTTTTTGGTTCTTTCCCAATGAAAAGTTTCTTTTGAACAGGACACTTTATTATATCTTACAGGGGTTGACACTAGTCCTGGACTTAAAGATTTCAGCAAAGACTAGTGAACCACCTAACCTAATTGGTCCCTTGGACTTGTGCAAAATGATTATAAAACAAGAATATTCCTTTTTAAAATTCAGAAAACTTCTGAAAATAAGATATATTTCATGATAATTGTCAAAAAAAATCTAAAACTTCACCATATTTTTATGGCAGTTGTTATTTTAAGTCCCCTACAGTGAATTACTTTGATGTTTTGTGCTGTAGATCTTGATGTTTCCTTATCAGGAAATCTTGGATTAGCTACAATGACGAAGGACTAGTGTTAGTAAATAATCTATTCAACTAGTCCTATGGACTACCAAGTAAAAAAAATAGTGTCTAACCCTGCCTTACAGAATTTCTTTAAAATAGTAGTCCAACCATTTTGTAAAAGTTTAAAATCTCAAGTCAAGTAAGTTCACAGTGAAATACCATGCGCCCGGTATGTGGCCTGATAAGCTGGTTTATATTAAGCAGATTTTGGATACGTGAAAATAAGAAGAGAGAAGTGCTCTACAGATTGACCTGAATGCAAATTCCCTCTAGGCAAGTTAGTATTCTGATTTCCCCAAACTATCAAAGAAAATGTTACTTCAACACAGCTTTCAATGCTTTTCTAATTTACTTTTAGAATCAACTTAGATTTGATTCCCTGGATTGCTGGTTGGCGCAGAGGATAAATCGCTCGCCTTTCACCAAGGCGGTATGACGTGAAAAGATATGGTTTCACCTGCCTGACCATGTTTGTTTTTCTCTGTGTAATCAGGTTTCCTCCCATATTAATTCATTCACCCCTGAAGACATATTTGAACTCTTCCAATTCAAAGGTTGGAATAGTTCATTATGAAATTTCAGGGGTGAATGAGTTAAGGCCCTGCCGCATGCGCTAACATTCCGGCCAATTGAGTAATCAAAACATATACATGTTAAAATAATTTTATTTATAATTATTGTTAATTAAAAATTAACTTAATATTTATAATATTTCCGACAACGCTAAAATCAGCATACCATGCTTTCTCTGTGTGTTCCAATTTCACCCCCGAAAAACAGGAGCGGGTAGGGAGAGACCATACTGGTGTCATACAGGTACACCTGCAAAATATGGATACAAAACTTAGATTTATGGACACCTGTGAGGAATGGATACAAAAACTGAACTCCAGTTTACCAGTAAAATTTGGATACAAAAGTTAGATGAGGTTTACTGTTAAAACATGGATACAAAAGTTAGATTGAGGTTCACTGTTAAAGCATGGATACAGAAGTAAAATTGAGGTTCACTGTTCAAACATGGATACCGAAGTTAGATTGAGGTTCACTGTTAAAACATGGATACAAAAGTTAGATTGAGATTCACTGTTAAAACATGGATACAGAAGTTAAATTGAAGTTCAATGTTTAAACATGGATATAAAGTAAGATTTAAATACATTGTTAAATATTAATACAAATATTAGTACACTTGTAAGAATTATCATACAAAATTGGACACAAACATCTTCAAAATATGTATACAAAAGTTAGATTAAATTTCATCTATAAAATATCATAACAAAAAACTTTGTATACCTGTGAAATTATGGATCTAGAATGAACATATCAATATCTACAAGATATGGATACAAAAGTCAGATTGCAGTACACTTTTATAAAACCTCCATACAACAGCAAATGTAAAATTTAGATACAAAAGTTAGATTTAGGTATATACCTTTAAGTTATGGACAAAAATTGGACTGAGTTACAACTAAGTAGTAACATGTTAATCACAAGCAGAGGAGGCCACATCACAATATCACTGAAAATGTTCATTTAGCAGGAAAATCAGATATATATGCAAGTTTCATCGAATCTCTGCTATGTAAAAATGATGTTCTTTCCCAGGCCATAACACTAGTGTCACCAGTGACTAAGCTGGCAGAATGTCAGTGAAATTGTCTGGGTAAGAACATCGTTTTTACAAAGCAGTGACTCGATGAAACTTGCACATATACATAATAACAATAATGTCAATTTTCAGACATACATATTCCTACAATGGTTTACTCATCCTTAGCAGCTTAGAGAATGAATCAAATATCTTTGAACTTACTTGAGCAGTTTTCATCTTCTTGTGATAGATGAACCAAGAGGAGTTAAAATTTCTGTTACTGTTGTTAACAGATGCCGGGTGCAGGTAAACTTTATTCCTTTCACCATTGAGGAGGAACGGCACTTGTCTAAAGCAACAAAAAAGAAAGTCATAGACACTTTTTATGTTTCGGTTTGGTTTGGTTGTAAAGGGTTGTGTATCAAATTTTTGGCTAAGGTAATTTTAAGCATACCCCCTTGTTTGTAATGTATGTGTGCATATACATACATGTGCTGGAAGCGGTATTATAATTATAATAATAATTCAAGGTTCTTATATACAGCTTTATTGCCGCCATTTTGGTGCTCACAACTAGCATTCTACAATTCTAGCACTGCCCATGCATGTACTCATTTACAGCTGAGTAGACTGGAACAAGCGTATTAAGGTATCTTGTTCAAAGTTACAACACAGTGCCGTGACGTGAATTGAACCCACAACCCTTCGGTCACCAGTACGGCGTCCTACCATGAGACTACTGTGTCCTGTTAGCCAATGTAATGTTTCACTTCAAACACACAAACAATGGATTTTAAACTAGCTGAAATGAATCAAAACAAGAGAACCCAGAGAGATCTTGGCACCAGCCATAGTAAGATCTCCATTTATTCAGGCTCTATGTAAATTCAACCTTTCCTCTTTGTTCTCATATCTGTTGGGTTGATAGTCTTGACTTTTTATTAAAACTCCATACAGCTCGGTTTTAAGGCTGATTGACATTTATGTCTCTTTGTTAAGTGGTATAGAATGATATTTGCAGTTTTATTTGCATTATATGCTATAAACTTTTTGCATTGATTATTGCCAAAAGAGGGAAACCTGGACCTGTATTCATGAAATCGTTCTCATGCTTAAAATCAGATATTATGCTCCAGCCCATTTTCTAGTTCCGGTGATCAATTAGGAACGAAAGACATTTTGTAAATGTCTTGGAAAAAAATTAAAGAGACTTCAAAGCGAATATTGTTTTAAAATGGTTACACAGGATGTTTTGACCATATCACATGGCTTAAGTGTGTTTAAAACAAAGTAGCCTTGAGCTCAGAATCTGTGTATGAGCATGATAAACGCTTCCATAAATATGGGACCTGGGCCTGTATTCATGAAACCATTCTCATGCTCAAGCATGGATTCTGTGCTCCACCCAACTTTTTTGCAACTTGCTTAAATCACGTGAAATGATAACAAGATATCCCAGTGGGATCTTGGTGCCCACCATTTTAACATCTTCATTAGTTCTTTGTCAGTTTGATCTTTTCTGTTCTTTTCTCTTATCTTTTGATCAAGTCATGTTAACAGCAAATGCACCTTGAGGTCGACGGGACACTCACCTATACTTCTGAATGTTTTTCTTGAATAGCTTTGCCACATTCGGGTACAATCCGGCACATATAACCGCCTTCACCAAATTCTCATTATCTGAAAATAAACAAGAAGTAAAACATAAGACTTGGACACATAAATGTAGTAGAATTATGTAATACCTGTTGGTACATTTTATTTAAATCACGAATCAAAAGGAAGAAGTCAACGGATCATGAGGAACAAATATATAAATTGTACATAACTTGTCAAATACTTAAATAAATTTTCCTGTATTGTTAAAAGACTAATAAAATCTATTACCTGTAACTGAGTGAGTTAATACGGAATTATGTGATGATCTCGACCACTTAACTTGGGATTTGGACAACAGAAAGATCCATTACACGACGGATTTGGTCAAATAGTATAATCAGATAATACTAAATCTAATATTGATTTCATTAGTTAAATATTATAGTATTATTGATTGGTTATTTCTGTATTGTCCTAGTTATTGGTCTGAGGCCTGTGGAAAGCTGAACACAAATGAAGCAGGCAGAGGACCAATAACTGGGCCAATACAGAAACAGGAATAGGCCTGCATCACTCATCACCTGGTGTTAATCTCACAGCTGTAACCTTAAAAGTCGACTAAAATAAAGCTACAGGCAAAGCATCAGTGTCTTGACTCAAAATCATTCAAAAGAACATGTTAAAGATTTAAACACATTTGACCCCTGTGACCTTGAATTTGGACTATCATCACCCTAGGCTTCTTAGTTATTCAGAAGAAGCTGTTTAAGGCAAAAAGTTGTTTAAGGCATAAGCTTACTTTGCCCTTTGGGCCAGGTGAGCTCATAACCTATCAATAATACTATAATATTTATGCATATATATGTAGGGCAGTTTTCGTCAATGTTCTCAAAAAAAATTCTCAACAATATTTTATTAGCAATCCCATGATCTATTAGGAATTTGTAGAGATTTTCTTTTTGAATTGGAACTTTTCAGAGATGAATCTCAAAATGCAGGGTTTACCAGGGGTAGGTAAACTATAATTTAGGGCCTTCTTGAGAACACTATACATATCTGTCCTCATGTCTGTATGGACCCAGAGTCTTTATCAGAGTGCTATTGGGCGAAAAGTTTTTATGATTTTTGACAGCTGACTTTACTGATTCGGCACACTGTGGCCAAGTGAACTGTTTTCAGCGATTTAGAGTCGAAACACCGGTCATTTACACTCTTTGCTTGACAAAGGAAACAGATATTTTCGAAAGCTTGCAAAATAAACTGTTTCCGGTTTGTGTCCAAAACAAACTTAGCCTCTATCATTCATACCAAACTAATGGAGCTTATTCCAGATTATCCGGGTCTTTGTAGTTTTAGACTCATTTTTTATTGAACTAGTATTATACTTACCAGAATTCATGTTTACTGATCGGTCAGAAGGATTCCGAGTGTTGATAAATCTGCGAGCATGTAGAAATTCCCCAAACTGTCCCTTCATTCCATCCAGTTGCTTAGTGAAACAAAAACAACGGGTGAGTAACACACACAGGGTCAAAATTACCAATATGTTATATATCAGAGACATGACAAAAACGGGGAAAAAAATGAGAAATTTGACATATATTTGGTTTGCTTGGTCCGGTTTGTTTGTGTTTTTACGTCCTATTAACAGCTATGGTCATTTAGTAATGTGCCAGTTTTTTTAGTGGTGGAGGAAAACCAGAGTTCCAGGAGAAAAAACACCAACCTAGGGCCAATACTTGGCGACACATAGGCCTCGAACCCCCAACCCAGTGGTTGAGGGCTAAAGGTAGCAGAATGTCAGACGCCTTAACCACTTGGCCACAGTGGCCATTGTTTATATATCAGAAAGTGATATTTGGTACTTCCTGTTAATTTTTATTGAATTATCGAAATGTTTCAATAACAATTTTCTTGTTTTTAGTTGTTTCTTATAACTTGTTTCTGGATGAAAGATTTTCATATTTTCAACTTATGCTTAAATATTATGAAAATTGTCAGTAATTAATTGAGTTAACAATATGCAGTCATGCATGAATGACCATAGCTCATGCTGCATACACACAAAAACCTTGTAATTGTTATAACTTCATAACATGTACACAAATTCCCTACAGCCGTTCTTGACTAGTTGCTTGATAACGGGGAAGTTGATGGACGGACAACAGATGGTGCAGACCTTCGGGCAGGTGAGCTTAAAATTGACATTGACATTTTATAATTAAGATATCATTAAGTTAATGTAAGTTGAGGAAAATGGATCCTGATTACACCTACCTTGAGAATACTGGGGGACAAGAAATTTTCCCAGCAGTACTGTGAGCCTGTTCCTTGTCGCTTGGCTTTTTCCCAGCCCTAATGTAACATTGCACAGAGTGAGAAAGAGGGTCAAACCATTGATTTTATTGTACAGTACTATTAGACTGTTTTAAAACATACCATGTATGCCTGAATCAGGCATATTGCAGACATTATAGATTGATTGTCCTTGAAAGAAAAACATAATAATAATAATGATAATATACAGGATTTGATATAGCCGCCCTATCTAGCTGGAATAAGCCACTGTAAAGTGCTTTACAGTACATAGATATACAATTTATACAATCAATACAATTAGCATATACATTAATCAACATATTGAGGAATTTGCAGGAGCTGCCTTATCAGGCACTAACTACTAATCCTATGCCACCTGGCTAATATCTCCCTATGTGTACATGTATGCTTGCATGTGTGGTGGAAATGTATTGGAGATGTATTGAACATGATTCTTTGCTTCCCGAAGATCAGTCTTCGGGAAACAAAGTATAATTTTTCCCTACTGCATGGGCAAAAATAATTCAATTATATTGGTAAAGGAATGATAACATAACAGTAAACAACATCAGGCCTACACAGCCATTGTTGTCCCCTTATTTCGTACTCAGATCTCAGGGGTGACACCCTCACCTATATATCTAGAGAGGCCCTGGACTGTTTGAGGGAAATGTGGGAAACTCAAGCAAGAGAGGGAAAGACAACAATTTATTTCCCTGTCATGTGATCAACTTAATTAATCCAAAGATGGGAATCTCAAGCAAGAGAGGGAAAGACATCAATTTATTTCCCTGTCATGTGATCAACTTAATTAATCCAATGATGGGAAACTCAAGCAAGAGAGGGAAAGACAACAACTTATTTCCCTGTCATGTGATCCACTTAATTAATCCAATGATGGGAAACTCAAGCAAGAGAGGGAAAGACATCAATTTATTTCCCTGTCATGTGATCCACTTAATTAATCCAATCATGGGAAACTAAAGCAAGAGAGGGAAAGACATCAATTTATTTCCCTGTCATGTAATCAACTTAATTAATCCAATCATGGGAAATTAAAGCAAGAGAGGGAAAAACAACAATTTATTTCCCTCTCATGTGATCCACTTAATTAATCCAATCATATTTGCTGCTATATAGATGTTGTGTGATAATGTATTATTGGAACTAGCATGATAACATCAAAGGTGTTTCTGACCAGAAATAGAGGAACACTATATCCTGCATCCTCACTACTCCAGGGGTAACGCTCACTTTCACTCACTACACCCCTGGAATATGTCATAGCGAAATCGAAGGCTCAGTGTGCGCCACCTTGTGAATGAGACAAAAAGATTAGTTTGATCCTTTGATGTACATGAAAAGAATCTTGTGGTTGCGTAACGATAAAATTGACTGGCTTTCACTACTGCAAGTAAATGCCCTGAAAAATACATGAAATACACATGAAAATGCCATGAAATTACTGAAACCTCATGAATAAGGCCATAATATATTGTCAATTGTATTTTCATGGGTACTCATGAATTACTAGAAATCCCATGAAAATCAATTTCATGGCCATGGATATCTATAGGTGGTGATCCATGGTCCATGGTCATGAATTATGTTCCTTTTCAGGGGGTTTTCATGGCCCATTTTCATGGCATTTTCATTGATAATTTTCATGGGTAGTTGTTCATGGTAAATTCATGGGCTAGCATACAGTAGTGTTTGAAGTCAGGTGTTGCTCCTATGTAATCTTCAAAGGACAAGTATCAGCCTAGCGATTGGTCAGGTTCTTTTACCCGAGACCAATTAAAAAGCTAGCCACGTGCCTTCAATTTTGCTATGACATATTCATGGGGTGCAAGGAGCTAAAGTGAGGGTAACCCCTGGAGTATTGAGGATGTGTTTCATGGTTCTTAGCAAAACATATTTGTAAGTACTGCTTGATGATTCTTAAATGATTACCTTGAAAGCATTGACCAGCATGATGTGGTCACTTTGGCTCCCATCAGACAACTTAACCTTGGCCCTGTCAGCTTCACTCTCTTTCCCCTAAAACACAAATGTCAAAGATTTCTGAAGTTTGCAAACTATTGAGTAACTCCAACTGCCAGCCTCAGATACATAGCCTTGCACGAAGTGGTAATAAATCCTATAATCTTCACTCAACAATGCACCCAGGTAGCTTTTATATGGGTGATACATTGTGTTTTCATTAATATTGTTGTTGGCACTCTGTGATAAAATACATAAATTGCAATGGACAAGCACTTTCTGGATTCTGTCTAAGTCTAAATAAACACAAAATGAAAATATCTGTCTCAACTGTCACTCCATTCCTTCAACATTCACTCTTCAAGTTTCTGTATATCTACCAGAGGAGTAACAAAGGCACTCTTGAAGCTCAGACTAGCGGCAATGGTGCATATAGGGTCTAGACAGCCGAACATGGCACCAAACAGGATCATCTTGCCGGACTTTGGGTCAACAGGCATCCGTGCCAAGTGATGACCAAGGGGCAGCAGGTTCTCATTTTCATCCAGAGCTTTCTGTGTAAGGAAAACAATTAGGTCCATATTACCGTATTTATCTGACAGTAAGCAAAAGCCTGGTAATAAACCCACCTAATTCTATTGCTGTTCAGTAGAAGTTTAAACAAATGCTGCTAAACAATCTTTAAGGAATAGCCCCAATAACACTGTAGTGGAACTGGACTGGGTGGATCATCGACAACCAAGTAGCTCAATTGGTATAGCATCCGTCTAGAGTTCGGAGGGTCCCAGGTTCAAACCCCGGTCTGGCCGTGCATTTTTTGGCTTCAGTTACATTTGGGGCCAAATGAAATACACACAGAAGGTTGTATAGGCACCCGTGTGTCTTCAGGGTAAAAGACTTTGTTAAAGGAGGGAGGAATGTAGCGGGACTGGACTGGGTGGATCACGGGCGACCATATGCATGTAGCTCAATTGGTATAGCAATTGTCTCGAGTTGGTGGACACGCATTTTCCGCTCCTGTTACATTCAAGCATGAGTAGGTGCTTGGCAAGGGGATACCCTAACCTGGGTTGTAAACAGTGATGTCTTCGAGGGAGAAGATTTAGAAAAAGGAAGGAGGAATGAAGCGGAACGGGACTGGTTTGGGTCGATCAGTGGCGACCAGGTAGCGCAATTGGTAGAGTGTCCATCTATAATTCGGAGGGTCTCGGATTTGAATCCCAGTCTGGCCGTGCTTTTCTCTTCTGCTATTACAATATAAACAGTGAACTCCTATTAGTAATGCAATCAGGATCTTACAGGTACATACCAGATCACGAAGCGTTACCAGGGCGATGTGCAGGGCCTCGGGGGATGGCTGCTGCATGGCCTTGCTGATGAATGGCTCAATCTTGCCCAGTTTTAACAGCTGCAGGAACACAAAAGTAATAGTTTTAACAATTACAGAAAAACATGCTCAACTAATGCAAATCTGTGCTTACAACAAAGTCAACACTGTGTCTCTTCAGAAGTGATTATCAGGAACATAAAAGTCTATAAATATCATGCTAATACAAATGTACCACAAATACTTCCTATGTCCTTGGAGTCCATTATAAAATAAATTTTGTTTAAATACACAGATACAGTGAAAAATGCTGCAATTTAGACCTCCTGTGTACAGAGACCACTTCTAACTCATTCACTCCTGATGACAAGTTTGAGCTCTTCCAATTCAAAAGCAGGCTTTTCAGAAACTTCGATTTGAACATACCAAATGTCATTTTAACTGGCCAAGAAAAAGGTGATTTGAACAGGACAAAATTAGGACTGAACCAGTCATTTAAGCCTGCTGTTTGTTCTTCATGAAAACCCTGAAAAGTGGGAATAGTTCATTATGAAATTTCAGGGGTGAATGAGTTAAATCTCCTGCATTAAGAGAACTATTTTTGGAATTCTCCGTGGTTGTCTCTGAATACAAGTTTGACTATATATTTCATGTTGTAGACTAATCTCTCACACCCTTAGGGGGTGAGATAGGGGAATCTCAACCCGAGGGGGACGATTCTTAAGTACCCAAACACGAGGCTTTGTCGAGAGTTTGGCAATTAAAGAATCTTTCCCCGAGGGTTGAGATTCCCTATTTAACCCTCAAGGGGGTGAATGATTATTTTTCTCTCACCCTGTTCACCCATTGTGTATCATATATACATAATGTAATATTAACGTTACAGGCCAAATTCAGGGTTGACGTGATGTTGATGGCTTGTTGACGTGATGTCATTGTATTGTTAACGTGACGTCATACCATTGTTATGAATAGGGGAATCCCCCATCTCAACCCTAGGGTGAGACAAGGATATCTCACACCGGTAAAAGTGTGGATATACCTGTCCAGGGTAAAAGAAATTGATAATCCCTTCAAAACTCAGTCTACAATAATCTCTTCGATACTCAAGTCTTTTTTTTTCACAATCCTTACTTTACTTTTTGTGTGAAAAGATCAGGTCGTTCCTCCTTAAGAAAAACACACACTAAGTTGTGACATCATAAAAAGTGAATGGCATTTTGAGCCATAGTGAATATCCACCACATGTGCTGTTTACAAACATGTTAAGACTACGTATACTCTGTCGGTGGAGTTGCAACTGAAATAATGGGATGGGAGAAAAATAATTATTCCCTACCTTGAGAGTGTAACAGAAATTTCAATCATGGAATGATTATTCGGTCGTCCTACCCTTGGCAGAGACTCAGGTTAGAAAAAAATAAAATAAAATTCATCCCTTGGGTTGGAGATTCCTGTCAATCCCTCAAGATAGGAGATTTATTGTCACTGTTATGTGACAGGTAGGGTTGCAACGATACGTTTATCTCATGATACGCATCACGTTACGTTACTTAAAAGTTCAAATTCATAATGATTGAATGCAGGATTTTTGTCATAGACTTTAACAGTAAATACTATCAAAATGTATTTTTGTATGATGTTTAGTATTTTTGGGTATGACTGCACAGTGGATCATATCTTTACTGAAAGATTAAAAAAAATTAGTACATTTCTTTTTAGAGTTTAATAAAAAGTGATTGATAATTTCAGTACTATTATTGTAAGCAATACAATTCGATACGATACACAAGAAAGCAATGTGATAGGATAGGATATATTGTTGCAGCCCTAGTGACAGGTCATGTGACAGGTCATGCAACATGTTGCTTTACCTTTATCTGCAGACACAGCTCCTCTAGAGGGGTGCGAAGAATCTCCGGCAGAAGGTAGTCCTGCAGTGATTCCTGCTGGTGACTTGTGTATAGGTGGAAACACACCCCCTCCTGTACACTGTATAAAAAATAAAAAATAAATCAAAGAAATTAAAGGTAATTTAATAGAAAGTCTGTCGATACGAAAATCTAACAAACTCTGGCCCCAGAGGGATGACTAGACATTTTCAGAAACTGTATCAGACTAGTCATGTGACTGGTCAGTCATCCAATGAAGGTAATATGGTAGAGTAATAGGCCCAATATAAGAAGTGCATTGTAGACATTGGCAGATTTGCTCTGTTCAGCATCACTAGAAGAACACAATTTTTAACAGCACAGTCACAATATATTGACGGAAATCTCGAAACACAGTCGAGACGTATCCTCCTTTCAATAGTACAAATTTTCTCTTTTGAAAATTGTTTCAAACTGTCACATTTCTGTAACAACATAAAATTTAAACTTTTATACTTAAAACAGAGCACTAACCGCCCAGCTCGACCCCGCCTCTGTCTAGCATTGGCTTTGGACACCGGCTGGCTCGTCAACGTGGCCAGATTGATCTCCGGCTCAAAATCCTTTACTTTTATCTTCCCACAATCCACCACATACACGACATCATCAATGGTTATACTGCAAAGAAGGAAGGACATGCACTGTATTAAGCATCATATTCACCATAATCAGCTCCTATGATGCTTTTTTGGCTTAACTCATTTACCCCTGAAGATACATTTGAACTCTTCCAATTAAAAGGTTGGAATAGTTCATTATGAAATTTTAGGGGTCAATGAGTGCAAGGGGGGGGGGGGCGGCGTTAGGACAATAAAAACGCAAGTTGTTATCACCAAAGGACATTATAAATATTACAGTGTGGCTGGAGGTTTGGATATCAAATGTTTCATCCCCTTCACAGGAAGTCCAGCCACGATCACCAGACATAAATCTCTGCTTTAAAGTGTAAGTACTATTAACTCATTGACTGGGCCTGGTCAGGTCTGCGAGGGGTCTAAATTCCTCACGAGAGAGCCTAGACAGGCAGAGGGGCACTTATAGGGATAGGAGCACTAATTACGGCAAATACAGTAATTCGTGAGATATTTAATGAACTACATGTAGAAACAGCTACAGGCTAAGAAAAATCTGTTTAGTGAACAAGAGGCTGAATGGGCCTGCATCGCTCACCTGGTATTAATCCCACAATTGTAAGCTTAAAAGTTGACTAAAATAAAGCTACAGACAAAATATCAGTTTTTTTAAAAGAACCTGTTAAAAATTTAAACACATTTGACCCCTGTGACTTTGAAGGTGGAATAAGGTCATACATTGTACAAAGTTTATAGCCCTTCATCTAAGCATGCAACATGCCAAATATCACCTCCTAAGACCTTTTTTTATTGCGATTAGGTCGTTTAAAGATTTCTACACATTTAACTAAATGTGACCTTGACAGTGGTCAGGGTCATTCATTGAATAAACTTGGTAGTCCTTCATCCCAGGATGTTACTTGCCAAATATCAACACCTTAAGGATCTTATTTATTCAGAAGAAGTTGTTTAAAGGTTTAAAACATATTTGAACCTTTTGACCTTGAATATATGTCAAGGTCATTCATTTGAACAAACTTAGTAGCCCTTCACCCAAGCATGCTACTGTCCAAATATCATCATCATCCTGGGCTTTCTGGTTATTCAAAAGAAGTCGTTAAAATATTTTAACATATTTAACCCCTGTGACCTTGAAAATAGGCAAAGGTCATTCATTTGAACAAATTTGGTAGCCATTCATCCTATCTTGCTACTGGCCAAATACCATCACCCTAGGCCTCTTGGTTATTCAGAAGAAGTGGACATCAAGCCTACAACCTTACATTCAAATGGCTGACACACTACTAGCTTTGCTATATGTGGCCCTCTTAAATATAAATGTAATTCGAAGGTATTTTTAAATGTCAAAATAGTTCATTGAAGTATGATATTGTTACCTGGTCTCGGCGATGTTGGTTGCAATGATGATCTTCCTGACCCCCGGGGGAGGTCTATCAAAAACCTCTTTCTGGTTCACCGTAGGCATCATCGAATGAAGAGGAATAATCCGAAAATTACCTGGAGGATTTTAAAATAAAATACTACAACAGTTAATAATAGCAAAAGAAAGTTTTTGCACCTTGGATATTTTTTCAATACTTTTAACGAAACATTCATATGTGAAATTATTCACACAATTACATCTAGTTCACCAGCATTAATTACATGAACATTTTTTTTTACTGCAAATAGTTTGTAGAATCAAAATGTCAAAACTTCTACCTGTGAAAATTTCTACTTTTACTGTCTATCCTGAAATTGCTAGGGCCAACAAAGTCAAAATATGCAGAAGACCACAAACCCCTTACAAAATTCAATAATTCAATATTCAGACATTCATTTACCCCCTTGGAAAGCCCCTTGTTTACCTGGCTTATATCTGCAAATTGTCTTTCCATAACACCAAAAATTAATCAACTGACTGATTAACCTGTTACTTGGTTGGAAAAGTTTGTTTCCCCCCCCCCTTTTTTCACTCGGAGAAAATGTCAATTTTTCAGCAATTTTGTTAATGACATGAAATACCATTTTAGTTATTTATCTAATACTTGACATGTATTTTTCAAAACGAAAAAAAAAGGTTATTTCTATATGACCGACAGATATACAGAAATACAAATACCTTAAGAGGGACAGAACTAGAAGAGAGAAGAAGGGAAGGGGATTAAGGGTGCTTAACAAGTTGGAAGGGTTTTTAGGAACCTGTTACTAAAAGTTCATCTGGTTTGACAACTCTAGTTTTTATAGATAATTTTTTTTCGTTGATTGCACAGGCCAGAAGTAAAAGTTTCTTCATTTAAAAAAAAAAAATTGCTTCATAATATGTGGAAGAAATCGAACATAGTGCTAGTAGAACAGCTTCTAAAATTTTGAAATCAACCAAGGTGTATCACTATCTCTGTGGCAATACCAACACCGATGCTGATGCTACAGTGACTGCATAGGCAAGTTAACCCTTTCACCACTGTAGACAATAATGGACTCATCCATTTCAATGCATGGTAGAGTCTACTGAAGTTACTTAGAGGTGAAAGGGTTAAAATGTAGACATATTTTAATTGATCATTACATCATCTGCTGAAAACAGAACTAATCAGTAGTTAGTGGACGTATCGGCCACGTACCAAACAAACAAACAGAACATTTAGGCCAAACAAAAATATTTGTTTTTTCTGGTAACCCTACCTAACCTTATTTTTTGTGCCTACCCTAAACTTTTTAAGGCCTTTTTACAAAGAAACACTGTTAAAGTCAAGATCACTCTAAAAAATAAACCATAAAAAGTTATTTGTTAAAATAAAACCTGTTACTTACCTACCTAGCCTAAAAAAAATCAGCATATGTTACAGGAAACACATATTAACATAAAAATGTCGAGCCAACGTCGTAAGGTTGTATAGGTGGGTTGATCAGTGTGGCACTTCGTGCTGAGAGTGGATACAAAAAGGTATGCAGGGCGATTGGTGTTGAATATGGAAATATAGTAGGCGGTTCCAATCACAACACAGCTCAGGCGTTACCGGTTAGTGGGTTTTATTGGTGGACTAGTTTCGACTCTAAAAGCGAGTCTTCATCAGGACCTGATGAAGACTCGCTTTAAGAGTCGAAACTAGTAGGAACCCCACCTACTATAGGAAGTACATATTTTTTTTTGTCTGGCCTTTCAGCTCAAAATTATACTGATGTGCATTGTAAGTTGACATTATCATGATAAGGGTAAAGTGTAGACATTGTTGAGGGAAGAATACTACTTACTGCTGTTGAAAACTGGTGTCTCAACTAAACTTTTATTCACATTTTTTATTTCTGCCATACCAGGTACAAACACCAAAATAGCACCATCCTGTAATACAAGGTAACATTTCTTAAATGTCATTTTGGCACTCCTACATTGATACTGAACTGTAATAAGCCAAAGGTTAATTTACATATACCCTTGCTCATCCATATCCATGAAAAACACCAAAACTGTCAGACAAAGGCTAATACTGTATATATCAAACACCCCTCACTCACCCATATGTATGTACAGAACAAACTAGATGACAAAGTTAATATATATAAAAAACACATCAATAAAAAATATGTATGTAAAGAAAACAATAGATGACAAAGTTAATATATATCAAACACCCCTCACTCACTCATATGTATGTACAGAACACACTAGATGACAAAGTTAATATATATCAAACACCCCTCACTTACCTATATGTATGTACAGATCACACTAGAAGACAAAGCTATCAATAAACAATAATAATAATAGACTTTATCTAAATTTGACAACACATTGAGTCAAGGACTCATCTCACATGTGGTCGACATAAAATATACAATATTTATCAAATACCCCTGCTCACCCATATGTATGTACAGAAATTATACACTAGATGACAAAGTTATTATATTTCAAACACCCCTCGCTCACCAATATGAACTACATCTATTAGACAACGACTGATTTATATAAATATTCTCCGCTAATCCATAATCCATACCCATACAAGTATGGTACAATGATATAATGCCACTGTTTCTACATTTTTCAATGTCCCACTGGTACACTTGTTATTCAAATATGTGTTACAGTGCAGCCACGGTGGCCAAGTGGTTAAGGCGTCTGACATTCTGCTACCACTAGACCAGTCACCTCCACTACTGGGTCACGGGTTCGAGACCTACGTGGGGCAGTCACCTGGTACTGGCTGTTAGTCGGCGATTTTTCTCTGGGAACTCCAGTTTCCCTCCGCCACCAAAACCTGGCATGTCCTTAAATTACCATAGCTGTTAATAGGACGTAAAACACAAACAAACAAAACAGTTTAACATTACTGTATGCTGTCCGTGATATTTTGATTTTTTTTCAGGATGAACTTTGGTCCTTCCATGAGATTATTTCTGTTGTATTTTCCCAAAATCAATGCACAAAAATCCTTTCATTTTCCCCAAATATTGCTTTCTGTGGGTGATATTTCCCCCAAGACACAAGGCACAGAGCTAGGCCTACGTACATGTGGAAAGGAGGTAGAAAAGTCACTGGTTGTTCAGTTCAGATTAGGACTGCAACAGTACATTTTACCCTGATACGTTCTTGTGTACCAGGTGGAAGTGTTTTGTTTGCCTTAATCATGATACACTTAGGGTAAGGAGATTTTCAGTCTTTTCTTTTTAATTAAACTCTAATAATTCACCTTTTGCTTTGGAATCATTCAGTTAAAATGTGGCCCATTTTTCAAAAGTACAAAAAATCATACAAATATATAATTTCGCAGTATTTACTTTTTTAGTCTATAACAAATTAAAGCTCTGTAAAATCCTACACTCAATCATTATGAAATTGACCTTTTCGACAGATTTGTGTATCATGATACATATTGTATCGTTTTGGTTTTATTTTGTTAAACATCCTATTAACAGCTACGGTCATTTAAGGATGTCATATTGTATTGTACGCATCATACTGTGATATGAATTGTATCGTAAGCATCATACTGTGACATGAATTGTATCGTAAGCATCATACTTTGATATGAATGTATTGTGAGGTATATGAATTGTATTGTAAGCATCATACTGTGATATGAATTGTATCGTACGCATCATACTGTGATATGAATTGTATCATATGCATCATACTGTGATATGAATTGTATCGTAAGCATCATACTGTGATATGAATGTATTGTGAGGTATATGAATTGCTGTAGCCCTAACTTAGATTTAAAGTATGGTTTGTTTGTGTTTATGTGCTATTAACAGCTATGGTCACTTAAGGACATGTCAGGTTTTGGTGGTGGAGGAAATTTAAGCCGGATTTCCCAGAGAGAAAACATTGACTTACCGCCAGTACCTGGCGATTGCCCCACGTAGACCTCGAACCCGCGACCAAGTGGTGGAGGGCTAGAGGTCACAGAATATCAGACGCCTTAACCACTTGTCCACCGCAGCCCCTAGATTTAAAGAATTATTGAGTCAGAACAATAACTTACTCCATCCATTTTGAAGCAGATGTGATGGATGACTCTGTGTATGAGTTCGATGTCCACCTCGTCCATATCCATGTTTTCTATTGCCCTCCGTGTTGACTGCGAGTACCTTTCAGAGGAATAAAACAATCAAATCCAAGTTGAATTTCCTACATCCTCAGAATTTCAGAGGTTATGCTCACTCACAGTTTTTGCATTCCTGGAACATGTCACGACAAATTTGAAGGCTCTGTATGTGCCACAATGTAGATGATACAAGACTGGTTTGATCCTTTGATGCACATCACAGGAATCAAGTAGAAGCCTAACGGTAAAATTTTCTGGCTTTGAAGTCCAAAGTCGCTCCTCTGTAATCTTCAACGGGCAGGTATCTGCATAGCAACTGGTCAGGTTTTTTTTAACTTAAACCAATCAAATAGCTAGCCTAGTGCCTTCGATTTTGTCATTACAAATTCTAGGGGCACAGCGAACGTAACTTCTGGAATTTTGAGGATGAATTTCTCATTAATATAGCTGTATATCATTCTGAAAGATTACACATGCCAATGTGTCAAAAGATAAGATTTTAAAAGATATTTCATTTTACTTTTTTTCCGCCATTATTCATTATCTAAATGAAAAGCAGTAACATACTGATGACAGAAGTTGACAGAACACAATACATCTCAGCACACACGCAGGCATACATACATAGGGAGATATTAGCTAGCTAGATATATAGGTGGCATAGGGCTAATAGTTAGCACCTGATAAGGCAGCTCCTCAAAATTGTACTGATTAAATGTCTATGTACCGGTACTGTAAAGTGCTTTAGAGTGTCTTATGTTAGCTAGATAGTGTGCTATATCAAATGTTGTATATTATTATTATTACTACTATAAATGAAACCAACTTATAAAATCTATAGGTAAAAAAATCATCAATTTGGATGTGAAGTTCTTATTTTTATTTCAATTTACGTTGGCAATCCAGTATGATGTTGAGGGTATAGAAACACACATGCGGTGGTGCTAAGAATCAAAAGGTAAGTTTTCTCATGCCTTACTTTGCTGGGTCAAGTGTTTTTAACCATGTCTTTGTTTCTTCTATTTCAAGCTGACACTTTTGTTTCTGTTTTCTGGGGTTAAATGCCGGCTTCTTCTGTTGGCTGGGCTGATAACTAGAACGAATAAGGGATTAAAATCTCTTACACATTATCAACAATTCAATGCTAAAACATTTAATTCACTTCCAATAAAAATATTTTGATGTGATAAATCTATGTGGCATACCACTTCAAATTTTATTGATTTGTTGCGTAACAGTTTAATAATCCTTTAATAGTAAAGGGAAACAATACTAATCACTCACTCAGTCATAGCTTGACAGAGGGACTAGTCTGTCTTGAAATGTTGCGACATGTTTAATACGTACATTGTTTGTGTATAAAGTAAAACCTTGATATTACTTTTTTCCAAACTGATGAATCTTATTGAAAATATGCAACATGGAGGTTTTCCTGACATCATTTCCAGGCATACTTGTGTACAAGTTACATAGAAAATTCTACATTGCAGTTACTAACCCTGTCATTTGTATGGCGTCTTCTAGCCAGTACTCCTTCACAGGATACGTGAATCCTGGGATATGTAGCATGGGGCTGCCATCTTGTGAAATAAAATGTGAAAATAATTGTCAACAAACATCACTAAATAAAATCATTTGCCTTTCATGCTTGTTTATTTACGTTTCCACTCCAAGTTCCTCTATAAGCATTACCAGAGGAAATAGCATTCATAGAGCTATGAATGCAATTTGATCAGCATCATTTTGAAGCTTCTCCTCTCACCTCAAATAACATGAGACAACCCTCTAGAAGCAAACATTTTGATGACTTTAGGCTGCTCCAGGAATCTTGTTTGCACTGACAACACAGACACTTGAATACAAGAAGTATCAGGGAATATCTGTATTTAGGTCAATAGTAACAAAATTTTAGAATGTAAGTACAGTACATTGTATAAGGATTAAACAAATATCGCATTTTTATAATGTTCATGCAGGTATGAATGCAAATCAGTTACATTACCCATTACCATGCATGAAGCCTACCAATATATTTAACCAATTTGCATTCATACAAGTATGAAATTGAAAAAGTGCCATTCAATCCTAATATGATCATTGAACATTAAACTTTTACTCATACATCTCAACAGGACAACATTTATAAGTAACTTACTGAAGTAATTTGAGAATTGTTCGGCATTCAATGTAGCACTCATTAGAATGACCTTGAGGTCAGGACGTTTGGGGAGGAGGTCCTTCAGGATGATGAGAAGGAAGTCGGACAATACGTCTCTCTCATGTATCTCATCTACAATGATGTGGCTCGCTCGCCTCAGGGACCTGTACAATTCATAAATTTTATAAAACCTGTTATGATACACAGGTAATGAATGACGAAGAATTTGAATAAAATAACGTGCAAACTAACACACCATTCATAGTGACCGACACTCACAGGGACCTGCTTCCACACAGTTTAAAATAACATGTTTTTCGATACAATTTATAATAATTGAAATGTTTCACTTAACATTCACAGTTACCTTTTTCAACACAATTCATATTCGTTGGTGTTATTAAATACCCTAAGGGACTGTAACTACAGTGTATCGCTCACCTGGATATATGTTTAAAGTATATTACTTGATATGAAGTAAAGATATAGCACTCCTTGGTAGGTATGAAATTTCAGAAAGATCCATCCAGTATTTCTGGAGATATAGCGAGAACAAAATCCAAGATGGTGGCCTGGTGGTCATCTTGTTTTAATGAATTTTAATGAATACATCCTAATAGTAACAGGCACTACCAGACAACTTGATAGAGACAACATTGGGATAAAATCTTGAATTCCTATTGTAGGAGAAGGATTTCAAAGGTTTTACCTCTACTATATATATAAACTTTATTTATTTTACAACAATTATGAAACAAGTTATTTCAACTTATATTAATCACTCTTGTTGGCCCCGATGTTAGCGTGTGGGGGTGTCTTACCTCTATTTCCCCTATTGGGCCCCACCCTTCTGCCCCAAGTGGGGCCACACCGACAGTTAATACAAAATTGAGTGCCCTTGGCCCAAGGATCCTCCAAACCAAATTGGGATGCAATCCCTTAATCCCTTTGGTAGATGAAGGATTTTGAAGGTTTACCTCTACTTCCCCTAGTGTTTTAAAGGAAAAGTTGAAGGATGGACGACGGAAACTATGCCATGGCATTAAAATCACAAAAATAATGTGTCACATTCACAAAACTGTAATCATTTATGTTAAATCTATATTGACACTTAGGTATTTGACCTATATATATTACAGCGATATAAAGATACAAACTTACGGATCAAGTTCCAAGTATTTCAACAAAATACCTGTGGTACAGTATAAAACTGATCCCTTCTTCCTTGGTAAATGTCTGGAAGAAAAAATAAAAACACAAATTTAGTTTTCAATATTGAGACGAGGAGAATACAAGCCTTTCAGATTGATATGTCTCACCTGTGCCCCGCTTTGACCATCAATGCACATGTCAAGTTGGTCTAGCACTTATAGTTTCAGAGAAACTAACTTAAAAGCAAGAACTTGGTGATGGAGATGCTGACAAAGTCAATGGACCATTAAAGGTAGGCTGCATCCAGCATTTGATACATGGGTTGAGATGTACTACCTAAGATGCATCTATGATCCAAGTTTGGTTGTTCTAGGACTTATACTTTCAGTGAAACTAACTTAAACGCAAAAACTTAATGTTGATGCCACCGCTGCCGGAAAAGCAACACCTTAGTCTTGCTTCCACTACTTCATGGCGGCGAGACAAACATCACCTCTCAAGAAAAAGAATCAGAAATGTACAATAAACCCTGAACAGAATGCCATGTCACAGAGGAAATAATTTCAGTTCAGATTGGACAGTTGGGGTTAAGGTAAGTTTTTCGAACTGAAGTTTCAGTTAAATCTGACAATAATATTACTGACACCTGAATTTTAGGTAGTGTCCTAGAGCTCAGGGTTGAATCTTCAAAGAAGATTTTCAGTTTGTCATACACTTTTTTCTGACTTGGTGTTTCTTGCCCAATATATAACTGCAGTGAAAAAATATACATTTTTTTTTTTAAATCTTTAATTTCTGTTTTCACAAAATATCTCTTTTCATGAGACCTCAATCTTCAAACCTTTTAATAATAATCTGAGGTAAATTTATGAAAATGCTCTGGAGATCACCATTTTAGTACTTTAGGTCAAGGTCAAAGGTCATATTAAGGTCACACTGACCCCATTTTAGGACGCTACACATGGCCTTCCCATGATGTACCTTTGTACAAAGTTTGATGCTGAATCATAAAACAATGCCTAGATAAGCTCCACAAACCTTTATTTTAGCACTTTAAGTCAAGGTCAAATGTTAAGTTTAGGTCACAGTGGCCTGGTTTCAAGATGTGACACACTGCCTTCCCATGATATACCTTTGTACAAAGTTTGATGTCCATTCATGAAACAGTAGCTGAGATATGCTCCAGAAAACCTGTCAGCATGTACGGAGGGACGACACACACAGACAAAGTGAATACCATATACCCCAGGCTTGGTCAAAGTGGTTGGGGGGGGGGATAAAAGTTTTTGTGAAAAACGCTAGTCCTAACCATCTGTAACTGATCTTTCCTTCCAATGCTACAACAACCCACCTCTCCAGCCTTATGGAGTATCCAATGTCACCCTCTTTTCCAACCGACTGTCCGCGCTCATCAGCCACTCGTTCAGCGACCTGCAATCAAACAGCGGACATAAAAGAGACTCCAGACAATATCTAAGATCCAGGATCCTTAAATGTGAAATTGTTCCAGGTTGTGACATAAGACTTTTCTTTCTTTGAATATGGGTTAATGTCACTTCATTCTGAACATTTTGAAACAAGCTGCGCCAAAAAGCTACTGGTTCATATAACATGAGGTATACCATGTCAGAAAGATATTGGTCATATATCATGATATCAAGCCTTTTTGTTGTTCAGAAATCATTTGAGCCCGTCAATAAATCTGACTCTTGTGACCTCAAATAATGGTCAGGATCATTTTATGTTTGCAAACTATGTAGCAGGCTATGATACTGAAATTATGCAAACTTGTACCATATACTTGTGTTCTGCATGTTGGATACTTGTAGAAGATTATCACAATAAAATGAATAATGAAAGTTGTTAAACCACATCATGAAAGTGAAACTCTAACCACAATATGCCCCCCCCCCCCTCCCTGTTAGGGGGCAAAACTAGTTACTACTGTGTAAAATCATAATTCATGTGTCAACAATCTTGTTCCACATAAAACTTACACAGTTCTAATCTTCCCCTCATACCTTATACTTACAGTTATAGCGCTGATCCTCCCCACATACCTCATACTTACAGTTATAGCACTGATCCTCCCCTCATACCTCATACTTACAGTTATAGCGCTGATCCTCCTGGGTTGAGTACATATGACCTTACACTGTGATCCCTTCCCGCGGGATATGTAGTCATCCAATATAAATTGGGGCACCTGAAATTAAGATATTGAGCCAATATAAATACTGAAAAAAAGGGGAAAAAAAAGAAAAAAACAATATTGAAGTGGATGCCTTTAGAGAAAAGACAAAAATACTGGTTCGAATTTTTTTGGGCATTTCCATATTAGATCCTATAAAGGGAAATTCTGCTGATATTCAACCAGTGAACACTTTATCACAATTTGGATTGGTTTGATTTGTTTGTGCTTAATGTCCTATTAACAGCTATGGCCATTTAAGGGTTCCAACTGTACCTCAGCCAAACACTTAAAACTAGGTGTTGGAAACTGTTTATCTGGCATGACTATAGATTTGATAAATAGTTTCTAAAAAGACAAGAATTCCACGGAAGTGGATATGTCGCCTGCGCAGGAAGCTGGGAGATTATGAAGAAATAGATACACTTTTCATTTCAAGAAATAATGTTAAAAGTAAGCAAAAATCATAGATTATGTTTTTGAATGGCATCATATCATTTTGTTATATAATCTGTTATTCTGGGAAGAATACTCTTGAGTTTTAAGGAACTTGCTATGGATACTCATTGTCTCAATTCCACTCCAATATGGTGTCCACAAGCAAGACCAGCATCGCCTCATTGGTATCCATAAAAAAAATCTTGAAAATACAAGTATGCTTAGCACTGCATGAAGTTTGAGTTTGATCGGCCAAAGGAATCTCAAGTTATCGCACGAAAACAGATTTTCTATTTATAGTTACAGTGACCTTGACCTTTGAGCGTCGGACCTGAAAAGCAATCCCAAGCAAGCACTTTTGGTAAGGAAGCATTGCATGAAGTTTGAGTTTGATCGGCCCAAGGAAAGTCAAGTTATACCACGAAAACAGATTTTCTATTTATAGTAACAGTGACCTTGACCTTTGACCTTCGGACCTGAAAAGCAATCCCAAGCAAGCACTTTTGGTAAGAAAACACTGCATGAAGTTTGAGTTTGATCGGCCCAAGGAAACTCATAGACATAGCAATACCTATGTGTCACCAGCTTTTCGCAGGCGACACAAAAACCATTCCTTGTGGGACTTAAACAAAATATTATCAACAACAACGTTCTAAATATGAAAAAATATATCAGCAGGGCTAGACCGGGGTTTGAACCCCAGACTTATGATTGACATACTTATGCTCTAGCTGTTTGAGAAACCTTGTCAACAGAAGTGTTCTGGACTACCTGTGCTAGTTATATCTAAACAAAAGGTAAGGGGAGGTAACTGTGTATAGGAAAAAAACATAATGCAGTGGGACAGGGATCCTCAAGGACAACCCTGGTTTTGATGGTGGAGGAAAACTGGAAACCTATAGAAAAACTACTACGTGAAGCCAGTACCTGGAAATTGCCTCAAGTAGACCTCAAACCCATGACCCCGTGGTGGAGGGCTAATGATCAAAGGCAGTCAAATGCCTTATCCACTCGGCCATCGCAGCCCCCAACACCATTAGGAATAGAAGGGTGTAGCAATAGCCATGAGAAGTTGAGGAAAAAACAATATTTCAATCATTTAGATTACTGAAAGAAGTTGCAACTTGTGTGTATTTTCCTGTGAATTTTAGCATTCCTCTTTCAAAGAGTTACTCAAAAGGATTTGAATTTATGAAACGAACAGGAAAGGATAAATTCCTTGCTTAAAAGTGTCTGAATAAGTGTAATGAGAAAACAATTATATTTACTCATATATAAAATCTAAGTGACCTACAATGCGTCATTTCTAATCCACCACTTAACACCCCACCCCGCCTCTCATGATACAGCACATTGGTCTCATTATCATAAACAGTGTACACCAGGAAACATTCGCCCAACGAGTTATTCACCCTTCAATGGTAACAAATCATTATTTGTAAGTGTTTTAATAACAAGGTTTTAATTTGCTATTGGAGGGTAAGCATTTCCTGGATTACCGTACTTTTTTCCGCAATTCAGTTGGTCTGTTCAAAGAGATATAACTAACCGTAGCCATTTTTACTGTTCAAGTTGACGTTCGTCTTTTAACCTTTTCGTTTGGTTGATTTCATTTCCTTTAACTTGTTTTATCTACCTTTTATTGGCCCTAATGGCCTCTTCGGTGTTGATGGGCCGTTAATCCAGTAAAAGTAATAATTTCACAAGTCTTCTTCAAATATCTCAATCATAACATTTTCTTCAAATGACATAATCCTGATATTTGAATCTGCAACTGGATAGCAGTTGATAATACATGTATTTACCTGTGTAGTCTTTCCACACCCAGTCTCCCCACTGATCACCAGGCACTGGTGTGATTCCAATGCTTCCATAATTTCCTGGAGCAAAGAAGCATGGAGAAGTTAGTGTACCGCATTGTTACACTACAGCATCAGGAACCCTAATAGACATATTGTTGTGAATTCGGTGTGTGGTTTTACAAACCGTCACAACATGTGGTTGAGAACTGCTCTTAGCTCTCGAAATCTATGAAACTATGTGGAGGAAAATCACTCAAGTGTGTTCAGTTGTAGGTCAAGATGTAAGGAGATCGTGCCGATATGTCACATCGAGGTTGTCGGCGCGGCTATTGGTCTAAGGGAGATAACTCTCCTACATATGTCTTTACTGTAGATTTTAGTCCTTGCCTTTAGTCTTTTGTTTATTTATTCAAAATATTCACTTGATAACACTGTCAAAATATGTTTTACAAAACAACAAATTTTGCCTCCTTAACTTAACCTTTAAATTTCGGAAGCAGAAACTCAACAATTACTTCATTAAGCTTTAATAAGAAAGTGTATCTTACCTGTCTCTTGTTATAAGAAGGCAGTTTTTTTCTGAAGTCCAGCATCTTCATAAATTGTGTGTTAGTCTTTCTGTCCTCTGCCTGGTCCATCAGTAGCCTGTCTAATTCTGGGTCCCTGCCCATCCCTATATCCTCCACTGCTTCTGTTCATGATGAAATGAATATTTAATGATAAATATAACTACAATATTCATTATATCAAGTGCTTCAAGTAGGGACTCTTATGGGAGAAATCTGTTAACGTCTTTTATTGCCAAAGTTGACCCCAGTCAACATTTAAAACTATTTAGTTGAATTCAAATTATTTCATGATTTGTGATTCTAAATAAATCAAATTTACTAAATGCAACTTAACTTTGATTGAATAATTACAAAAAATGTTTCATTTGGGAAAGTGTTCTGCAGTGGTTCTATTATCATGGTGATACAGCTGTCAGCATATTTTACATCAGGTTTAAGTAACTGCTTCTGTGATGACAGTGGAAGATTTATAGAACCTTCCCCTACCTTGAGGGTGTGACAGAGAAATCTCTAACCCGAGGGGTGATGTTTTTTGGTTGTCTAACCCGAGGGTTAGGCAACCAAACAAATCACCCCGAGGGTTGGAGATTTATCTGTTACATCCTCAAATTAGGGAATGATTATTTTTCTCCTATCCTATTATTTTAGTCACAACTCCACCGACAGTACTTTGATTGTAAACAAAAACACATGTGGGACATGAATACCATCATTCACTTTTGATGACGTCACAATTACCAGTGATACATTTTAACGATGTCACAATTGAACATGTGCTTCTTGACTGAAACAGGAGACACATCTGTGAAGGGTGGGAGAATATCGAATCAGTAATGAAATCAAACATCAGAAGACAAGAAAGATCAGAGAGACAATATAAGTACAGTGTCTTAAAATCCATTTTTGGTCTCCCTCTCCATTTGTACAATTTTGAATTTCCAACCCACACACTCATCTATTGGTAACCAACCAATAAAAGCTGATATGCATCCCATAGTTCCAGCAGAGAAGTAACTTATAGCAATATGGCCAAATTATATTACTACCCCTTTTTATTACTCCCATAAGTTCCAGGGGAGGTGTTGGGGTTGGAAGCGGGGCAGGGGTTTTCAACCCCTTTCATTTGCACAATTTTGAATCCTCACACAATAGGATGACGGCCAAATTAGGTAAAGAAAAATTCCGCAGTTCAGAAAAAAGATGTTGGGGGAAATTATTGACATGATATGGTAAGGCATATATAAGCTCACCTTGGTCCTTTGGACAAAGTTAGCTAATAATACCAGTAAAGTTACAATATTTTACCATCATTCATTTCATCATCAAAGATGTGTCCAATCTCATCAGCAGTGTACTGCATGGCCTCCTCATCCATTGGTAACACATCACATTCATTATAATCCCCCTCATCTGGTTCAAATAACTGTTCCTCTTCACCAGTTACCTCCCCTGAGAAGCCAATTCCCATGGCATCAGTCTCCATTTTGTCAGCATCGGTGTCATTCCATGCATCATAGGAAGAAACTTTTCTGCTCCCATCTCTCTCCGATTTGATTTTGAATCCTGAATATCCTTGTGAACCTTGACCTCTTTCACCTGATGCAGTGCTTGGTCTTGCAAAATTCTGTTGATTGCGACCGCCAGCATAAGATGTTGATGGCCGCCCATCTGATTCACTAAAGTAGAAATTTTGTTTCAATCATCAATCCTTTTCATCATTCTGAGTATGGAGGCAATATTTTAAATTTAAGCTGTTTCCCCTTTTGGGCCCTGCACCTCTAGGTGAGGCAGGATCTTATTTTCTCAAACAATCTAATAACCATTTCATTATAATTATTCTGACAAAGTTTGAATTATTTCTGGCTGAAAATGGACAAAATATACCCAAAAGTGTTATTTCCCTTTATTACCTTTTGTAAAATTGATCCCCTCCCGAACAGAGAACAGGGCCTTTGCAACCAGCCAATATTTTCTCAACTCCGGATCCCTGGGCAGTATACAGCCGGTGCTGCCATTTCGGCGCTCACAGCTAGCATTCTACAACTCTAGCACTGCCCAACCACGTACTCATTTACATTTGATTATACTGGAACTTGTGGAGTAAAGCATCTTGCTGAAAGATACAACATAGTGCCGTGACTCGAAACCGCAACCCTTTGGTCACGAGCCCAGCGTCCTACCACTAGACTACCGTGCCTCCTATAATGAGAGGATGCTTGTTAAGAGGTGTTTAAAAGACAGGTTGACAGGTCTTCTGACACTCCAGGCTACCTGCCCCTATATATTTGGAAACAACGTTGGCTACCTACCCCACGTCCTGGTCCAAAGAGGCTCCAGATCGTGATGGTTGTGGCTGGACGTTGTCCCCTGTCTGGATATCGTCCAGGAGGTTACGAATCTTTCGTTCCATATTACCTTGTAAGTTCACCACAGGGGTCTGTAATTCAACACCAATTAAAAATAAAGTCAATGTCATGCGTGTACATTAAACCACAGTAACACTTAACATCTTCAATTTTTTTTAAAAACTTCTTTCAAGCATTGAAAGAGTTCCTTCGTAACTTTAGCAAGACAAAGTATACTAACAGATGGATGACTATGAGACACTTTTTTCAGGATAAAACAAAAATTCCACAGGAGTGGATATGTTGCCTGCTGAGGCAACTCTAATGAGATTATGAAGACGGGATCTATTTATATTAATGGTGACGTCAACCCAAGGGATGTCAAGTTGTCGCACGGAAACGTTGTTTCGGATGACGCAACCAATATTGACGCAAACGTTGACAAAGTAATACCTATATGTTAACTCCCGTTGCCTGCAACTGTATCCACGTAATGTGAAAAAAGCTATTTAGTGCTTTTGGCGAGAAAAATGTTTTGGCTTAAACACCAGCAATCTCATGGAATAACAGTCAGTGTAAGGTTTTGAGGTTGATCGGCCCAAGGAAACTAGACTTATGGCACGGAAACAGATTTTCTATTTATAGTAACGGCGGTATTGACATTTGACCTTCGAACCTGAAAAGCAAAGCAAGCACTACTGGTAAGAAAGCACTGTATGAAGCCTGAGCTCAATCGACCTAAAGAAACTTGAGTTATCACACGGAAGCAGATTTTCTATTTATAGTACATGACTTTGACCTTCGTTCCTGAAAAGCAATCAAAAGCAAGCACTTTTAGTAAGGAAGCACTGTATGAAGTTCAATCAACCCAAGGAAACTCAAGTTATCGCATGGAAACCTTGTTTCGGAATATGCAACTGATGACGCCAACAAGGTAATACCTATATGTCGCCTCGCGTTGCAGGCGACACAAAAAAGTAGGAAATGCCTGTAGGACATTCATGGTACCACAGTATACGTAGTACCATGCAAATTGCCAAATTTTGATAAATAGTAACCAATGACATTAACCTTAACCTGTGGTCTGAGAAATGCATTCATTTGAAGTATTTTTAAAAATAACCTTTGTATTTTAAAAGTTTGACCAAAATCTGTTAACATTTGAATTTGCTGACGGGATGTCACTGAATTGCCTGACAAATTTTATAACGGTGAGAGGGACTTTGGACTTGACATTGGATGCTATCATACAAATTCATTTAAGGTACACTTACATTTGACTGTTGAATAAAGTTTGTAAAAATCTGTCCAAAATTGCAGTCACTAGAGCGGAAAGAGATGCACTCTGTCACGACAATCGACATGGGTAACTTCTATAACTCCCATCAAATGGCAGGGATACTTTAACTATTGCACAAAATTATGAATGTGCTAATTTAATTTTAGTTCTTGGATACCGTTCTCTATTGCATATTTCAGGGGTGCGTTAATTCATCAATGCGCTAATCTATTAAAACTTGATAATGCACTTAGACTTTAGTGTACTAAAAGATGTATGTTTACAGTATAGGAAACAGTGGATGTTGTCTTAGACAAATAAATCTGGAATCAATAGCACAGTTTTAGATCTTTATGATATGAAACCTTACATTTAAATTCAGATTACAAATAATTTACATAATTATTAGGGCTCCAACAAAATATTGTAACGTTTCGTATGGTGATACTTTCTTGATATCGTTTCAAATTGTTTTGTTTGCCTGTATTGGGATACACTAATAGTACTGAGACTATTACCTCATTCACCCCTGAGACACATTTGAACTCTTCCAATTCAAAGGTTGGAATAGTTCATTATGAAACTTCAGAGGTGAATGAGTTAATCCCTTCTTTTTTTTATTAATCTCTAAAGAGTTTCCCTAGAGTTTGATTTATTAGCAACATCAGCAGTCATGCTTTTAATAACAATAACAATAACAAGTAATGGAGAACTTTAAAGTGCCAACACACAAAAAAGCTACTCTTGTGTTTTGCCTTCAATGGTACAGGAATCCTAAGGTTGTGTTACCATTTCATTTTCCCTCCTTGCAGTTTTGGTTTTCTGTCTGCCTGCATACCACATGCCAATTTCTCTGCCAGACAACCCTGGCGGTGGTCGCTCTCTGCCTCTGTTTCCTCCTCCTCCCCCTCCTTCATGCTCTCCATCCCATCTCCCTCCTCTCTGTCTCCCTCTTCCCCCTCCTCCTTCATGCTCTCCATTCCATCTTCCTCCTCTCCGTCTCCCTCCTCTCCATCCACCTCCACCCCTTTCTTTACCATCACCATCCTGATCTAATGAATAAAGACCATATAAATTTAAATCATTGGCAGAGATATATTGAAATCATGGCCGAGAGGTTTTGAAATTAATGGCCGAGATATATTACAAGAGGCCCATGGGCCTTAACGGTCACCTGAGTCCTACAGTATTTTTTGTTGTTGGTGAAATATGTACCAATTTGAGTAAAAAATAGTTAAGTATAACGTTAAGTTTGTCCGGACCATAAGCTGATCATTCCTAAACCGAGTTTCAGTTAAATCGGCATATTAGAATTTTCAAAATAGCAGTCGTGGCAGCCAAATTGGATTTCTGATCGATCTGAAAAATAACAACATTTTGTCAGGACCATGCGTTGATCATTCCTACAAAGTTTCAGTTTAATCGGCTCATTAGAACTTGACTTTGAGCTTGAAATAGTTTTTCAAAATGGCGGCTGTGGCGGCCATATTGGATTTCTTATCGACCCAAAATATAACAACACTTTGTCAGGACCATGAGTTGATCATTCCTATTAGGTTTCAGTTCAATTGGCCCAGTAGAACTTGACTTTAAGTTTGAAATAGTTTTTCAAAATGGCGGGAAAATGAATTTACAGGCCAGTGACAAAAGTGTGAATGAAGCGTTCTGTAAAATCTGCAATAGTAGTCTTAACATCAGTTCTGGAGCTAGAAATGACCTACTAAAACATGCCAAGTCAGACAAACATGTGAAGGTCCTTCCTTTTCTGAACAGCACTAAAGGACTGGGCAGTTTTTTTAACAAGTCCTCAAAAGATGATATTGCAAGGAGGCTTATTTTTGCTGAGACTTTATTTGCTAACATGGTTGCAGAACACAATCTTCCATTTGCTTTATCAGACCATTTTAACAAGATTGTTCCAAAAATGTTTCCAGACAGCTCTGTGGCTGGAACATTTTCCTGTGCTAAAACTAAAACCACCCTGATTGTGAAGAATGCAATTGCCACTGATTTGGACAACTATGTCACAGAAAAGTGCCATCACCATTATGTGCGATGAATCAAATGACAGAGGTGCGGATAAAACTTTTGTGATTCTGGCAAGAATTTTTGATGAGGACATACGAAAACCTGTAACAAGATTTCTAGATATGCCTATTGTTAATTATAATACCTTAAAATCACATTTAAAGTTGTAAAATTGTTGTTTAATTCCTATTGGTTTCCATATACATAATGGGTATAGTATATCAAAAGAGGGTGAAAATAAACTACACGTCCTGATTTGAAAACCCCAAAGAGGGTCATCACCCTGATTTGTATGCTGAGAGGTTGACACTCTGGTATGTTTACATGCAGATAATTCTGTGTTTGAATTTTTAACTGGTAGATCATTTGAGTTGTGTGGCTTTTAAACGTAGTTAGCTGAGGATAAAAGGTGGGATTATATATATATAGGTGAGAAAGACTTTGTGTGTAGTTTTATAAGGTACACTCATTACCTTCCCTACTTCTATTGCCGTATCTGCGACCACGATCCCAGCCACGACCACCTCTTTTCCAGGATTGTTGTTGGCCCTCACCTCTGTAACTCATTGCAGTCACTAAAATGAAATAAGCATCAAAGAATAAATGGTTCAATGTTTTACTTCTTTAATTTTGCAGTTGAAACTTTTATCGATATGATGCCATGAATTGGTGACAGATATATGTCTGGTGTGGGGCCCCACACTAGACATCTAACGGTTATCTGTCAAAATCTCCAAGTCTTGTGTCATGGCCAGTGGAAACTCAGGCTTATTTCTAAACACTGCTCATAATTATTAATTGTTTGTTTTGTTTCACGAAATAAAAGGTTTGTGATAGCATATCGTATGACAACCTACACACTGTAAGCTTAGGTTGTAGTCCGAGCTACGACAATACACCAGAGGTGTATGGAGACTTATGTTTTAACACTTTCTGTTTCATAATGTTTTATATGTAATTTCTTGAATTGATGCTTTTTACTTATGTTTGTCGGAATAAAGGTCTGAAAAGCATTACCGACTGTCATGTGTTACCCCTGTGTATTTGTTTACACACATATAGCACATCCAAGTTGTAAGTACCTTGTAATGTCAGTAGACTGTGTCGTCTGTTCAGAAACCGAAGACATACATGTAGCATGCTTCCATTATTTTTCTCGTGATCTTGGTCAATGAAAAGCTTTCCATGCCGGGATAATAAAAGCGCGCACGGGATTTCACATTTACCGTCTGGCAACGTTTAGTGGCAATCTCTACCCGGAGTTGTCGTTCCTTACACTCGTAAGGGACCTGAGAATTTGTGGATTATACAACATGTAAATTTACTTGTTTTTCTTCTTAATTTTGGGACTTCATTTGACATCAAACTTTGATCAAACTTGGAAACCTGATAGAGAATTATCCAGTGTTTCCTTAATTGGTACCATTTATATTATTTTCTGTGGCCCTGTTTTAATTAAGATATTACCTTTTTTTTTTATCCCAGCATAAAATGTATACGTTGAGGTCATTCCCATAGACACAATGTTAAATGTTGCCATAAAATATATTTTTCCAAGTAACCAGTCACAGTTACAATTCCATAAAATGGATGATTATAGTAATATTACTGTGGCAGGGTTCAATTGTATATAGGATTAAGGTTGCCTTCTAGCTTCGAGCTAGAGGGAATTTCCCTTTAGCTCAGTGGTAGAGCGTCCGACTAGGAACCTGGAGATCGAGGTTTCGATCCCCGATTGAAGCACACTATTCTCTTTCCTGTTACAAATGGTGTCCGTGGCCCTCTCTGTAGCGACAGGGAGTTAGAACCTGGGTTGTGGTGTTCGAGGGCGAACACATTTAAAAAGGGGGGAGTAGTGTGGCAGGGTTCAATTGTACATAGGATTAAGGTCGCCTTCTAGCATCGAGCTAGAGGGAATTTCCCTTTAGCTCAGTGGAAGAGCGTCCGACTAGGAACCTGGAGATCGAGGTTTCGATCCCCGGTGGAAGCACACTATTCTCTTTCCTGTTACATTACCAAGAGAGACATATATGCCTCCTATCCTCACCCCACCCCAATCAGTTTGTCCAGGATATGACCATGCTGATTTATCTGGAGAATTTTTAAATTACAATTAGTCTATACGATAATTTAAAAGGAATTTATATTGTGCGTTGAAAAGTTTGTCACTGCACGGAATTAGATTATATGTTATCCAAGTCTGTGGTCACTGCAATGGAATTAATTGACTTTAAGGTTCTGTGATCATGCTTGATATTTCCTCCTAAACTATTGTTCATGTAGTTTTCATGTAATAATAAAGTGTCGACGACAATGTACAGTAAGCTGATCCAGCTTCTTGTGACGCATCCTGACACTGTTCTCTAATCATGTCCGGTTGTGAGTAACATGTAGGTACAATGTTTTGGTGATCAGGACGCCAGTCAGGGAGGGGGCTTCCACAACTAGAGTTGTTCAAAGCATCTAGCTTCTTTTGCAGAGTGAAGTCGGATACTCACCAATCTGATTAAAATTATATCCTACGTCCTCTACGTATCGTGATTTTAATCAGATTGGATACTCACTTGTACTCATTGAAACTCATTGTTTCATTGAAACGTTCCATTCATTCAGGGATCCTGTAAATAATGTACATGTATGTACAAGGATTTTCAGCACAGAACTCAATTTGGCACGCTTTTGGTAACGTTTCGTCACATTTTTAATACCTATCCCATTTTTGCCTTTCATAATGTTCCAAGCTTCTGCTTTTAGGATGTTACATAGAACGTTGCCTTTTAGTTGCTTTTAATTCAGTATAAAAGATGTGCGTTAAGCCCAGTTTATTTGGTTGGTCTATGCAATAACTTGTTTCTTTGGTTCAACTTTGCATTCAGCTCTGTTCCTTTGGTTAAAGTTTGTGTTAAGTTCTGTAACTATGATTAGAGTTTGGCTCCATTTCCACTGAAGCAGAAGCGTATGTCTGTTTTACAAACACTTTCTAGTTATGTGTTACGTCCTGTTGGTGTCATTGGAGACAACAATGATCTTGTCCCGGGCCTCGAGTTTTATCGGAACACAATTGAACCATCTGCATATTCTATCATTTCTCATCTCGTTTTTTCACTCAACAGTGTTCCTGGTCATCTCTAGGTAGCCTAATGTCAGAACTATTTGAACGGCTGGTATTTTTAAAGTGCTGTGTCTATCTTCATTTCAGTGTAATTGCACATAATGCGGCCTTCGATAGGCCCATATCTGTGGACATAACATATACCTTCGCTATTTTGGCCCAAATATCTTCGAACACTGTGGTCATATGACCTTAGCTCATAACACACGTATCTCTTATTGTAGATGAGTTCGAAACATTTTTGTGACTATTTTGTATGAGCTGGATTTATAGATTTATTAAGCATATTGTGAAAGATAATTTCTTGAATTGAATTTTGATGAAACTTCCCTATATTTGCTTGAGGTTATTGACTTTGGATTATTTTATATAGCCAACTAAATCACGTTGAGCAGAGAAATTTTATAGAAACGGCACGAAGTCATGAACTGAAAGGAATATAATTATAACCATTGTTGCTGTTCAACAAATTGTAGTCATTCAATTTTCTCAAAAATCAATACTTCATAGAATTAACATTACATAACACTAATGAACTCGGCCTAATGCTACAATTTTGTCTTCAACATCACGACTAAGTTTTATTTTTCTTTGTCTTCAATACTAGAACCCTCTGCATATCATCAATATTTCATCGTGAGATAGGTGTCCTGTTAACAAATCAGTAACTGTAAGTTATTTCAGAAAGTACACAATTTTGCATCAATTTGTGATTAAGAATCCATTAAGGCTTTATAATTATTTAATCAGACATCATTAATTCATATGCAATCATCTGTTGAAATTCTCTTTTAACAATTCCCAGCTACACAGGTAGAACATGATTATCACACAGGTGGACTAAAATACTATCATACAGACTGAAAAAACACATCAAACACAAAATTATTAGTTTTAAAAGTTTTATTACAGGAAGACTTACAAGAAACAGCTGATGATGGATGTTCTAAAACAACAAATAATGTCAGCTTCGTGTGAAGTTGGGTCCCCTGTCACATCAGTGCTAGAGTGTGTTAAGTACATGTCTGTACCTTCACTATAAAATTGAGTTTCGGTGGGAATTTAATTAATATCCTTTTGATGATTCTGGGACAAATTAACTGCCCTTATGATTGAAGTCACACTCTTTCCATTTTTTTTATATAATTAATTCACAATTTAACGATGCCATTTTCTTATCTATACACATTGCATTAATGGGAAACTGAAAATGTTTATCAAGAAAATCAAACTTATGTATATCCCATCTATTTCAAAATTTGATACTGTAGCCTAAAATAAGTAATATCATGCGCATCGTAATGCTTTAGAAAAGCAAAGCAGGCAACAAAATACTAATTCTGACATATGGACACTGGGAAATACTTCAGGTTTTTAGCCATATCCTGTTGTACTACTGAATGGATACACCGGAACTCTTCTTCATCCGGAGGAAGATAACCTTCTGCCTGAAAAATCCCTTTCTTTATGCAATTAATTGTCTTTTCGTTTTTGTCTCTTGTCTATATTACCGGTGAATATTTTTGCTACACAAAATGAAGAGATATACGAGGACAAGGAATAGCACAAAGCTAGGAATCTCATTTGCTCAAAATCATGAGAGTTGTTTCCCTTGATTCTAAGTTGACCTTCCTCCATCTGCGCCAGTGACTTTGTACAAAACTTATGAAAACATTTCAAGGTCATGGTCAAAATCATTGGGAAGAGTCTTTATGTCTATTAATGAATTGGTAAATATACAAAAAGAAAAATTCCTGATTTTCTTCTCACAAGTATATACCTCACCATCAGAAAGGGTAATTATAGCATTACAAAAATTTCAACCACACCCGATTTCTTCAGACTTAAAACATTATCCCAGGACAGAAGCAACAAATGTTTATCTGTTCAGAAGGGAAAAAAATTGTTACACAGCAAGTGAAAGGTCTCTCACGATCAAAAAAGACAAAACAGAAATTTTGGGCTCCTTATGATGATGAGGTATATAGTGTTTCTAAGTATTAGATGTAAATGGTAACAAGAACATGATAAATGAAAATTCTCGCTCGCAGGCGATAAGATCTTGCAGGTACACATAACATGTGGCATGAGTCATTCAGGAGCAGAAGAAAAGAAGGGAAATTTGCAATATATAAAATGTTGATGCTTACAACAGTGATGAATGGTATGTACAGTGCCTACAACATTCAGTCATGTATATATATACCCTATGTTGATTTCACATCGTTTGATATCACAAAGGTCAAGGTCAACACATCACAAAGGTCAAATACAGGTCAAGGTGGACAAAGAGCTAGAACTGACCTGGAGATATATCAATGGTGCTTCGATTCTCTTGTATAACAGTTATTCATTTTGAAAGAGGAAAATAAAAATATTTTGATTGAAATAGAAATATCCAGGAATTTCGTGTTATAAAATGTGTTACACACAAAAAAAAATTAAAAAAATGAAACAATGCAAGCATCACTGGCATAAAATTTGACAAAGTTTGTACAACTCGTTAAAGGATTATTACACATAATGGAGAAGATGATATAACAATATAAGACAAAAAATCACTAACAGTCTATGTGACATGGAATCACAACAAAGCTAGTCACATAAAACAGAAGGTATAGACACCTTTGCAACAGTCTAGGTCCTTTGTGTAAAGTACACCACCTGGGTACCGGCATCTTGTGTAGGTAACAGCGACCTACATAAGTAGTACATGCGTAATACAATGATATAAAAACAAGCTCACAACAAAGAATGTTAACAGTTTTATCACAAAATAGTTTTGTCAAACACGGAAAAAAAATTACAACACATTGTTATGTCTCATGGCTACCAGTAATTATCGATGAAATCTTTTTACGATGTCGGTAGTCCATGTGACCTAGATTTAGCAGTAACCCCATGTATACAAAATGAGGGATAAATGACACAACCGTTACCCTCAAAATCTGTAACACAACAATGACTCTAGTTCTTAAACATCTATTGTCGATATGTGCTTTACAAAGTCTGACATTCTGCGTCAATCAGCAAAGATATCATTCTGTTAGATGTCAGTCCTCCCATCTCACAACGTCTGTATTGTTCAACACACTTCCACGTAATACATACTGATTAAAAGAAAGTGCTGTAAATTTTGTAATGGATATAAATGTATATTTTTATATGCGATACAGATGTCATTGTAACTCCTGGAATGTAATGGGTTTGAATTAGCTTTACATGATAACTTCAGAATATTTACAAAAAAAATTATATAATAATAATGTAACCCCCCTGTATAGCTCAAAATAAAATAAGGTGAATTTTAAGTTTTTAGTGTATACACAGAATGTGTTAGTAGGTTGTTTATAAATAAAAAAAAAAAAAAAAATTATCACAATCTCATTCAAATCAGATTCCTGATTGGATCGATATTAGATTTAGTAAAAAACACAACCAATTTAAAACAAGAAAACTTGTAGGTTGTAAATAAATAATTAAAGGTTGAATATTATCAGATAAAATAGTGTAAACAGACAAAAAACACAACTCTGTACAGCTTTACATAAAGAGACATTACAAATGATGCCAAGCTTCATTTTAAAATGGGAGTTTTCCTCATTAAAGTGAAAATGTATTGTTAAAAAAATTGTAACGAAGCAAAATTGATCTCTTAACAAAAAAGCAGCAAACTAGCTAGCTAGCAAATGCTATATAGAATGAAACTCAGTGCCTTTCTCCAATAGTATAGCACTTTGAGGCAAAAGTAAGGAAAGGAGCACATTTCTAAAGAACACCATGTATACATAATGGCACTAGCTTCCCCTGGATAAAACAATTGTTCACTCCAAAATAAAACACGGACCCAAAGTCCATTTTACTAACCATTCAGAGATGGTCTCTAGATTAGCCTTCAGCATATTTACATGGAATGGAAAAGTCTTTGTATATATATATTGTTCTTTTAATACAAAAATTTAAAGCATATAACTTGTAATGTAAATCAATTAGAATTTGTTAATATATTTTTATTTAGTAAGGAAAATAAAAGCAAAGGGTATTACAGGCGATGTGCTCAAATATTGCAAAATTACACATCCAAAGTAACTCAATTAAGTTCATGAAGCAAACCTTTGTTAAAAAATAAATTCAACATATTTTAACTTAAATATAAATTAAACTTTGGAGAAAAAATAATATTGGATTGATATGGTAAAATAAAAAGGGGCATAACAATTTAGCAGTAAATACTGGACCAGAGAATATGATTTTCTTTCCTCGTCCCCGACTAATACAAATTAACATATATCCCTACTCCGCTCGTTGTAAAAATGACTGAAGGTGTAAGTTGACATGGTCGCATTTTCTAATACACGACACCCAATTAAAACTGGCCATAAAGCTAATTCAACTAGAGACATTTTTCATCCATAATAAAAGTGCAAACTAACTGCCCTTCTCTTTTCTAATCCTAGTCATTTGGATGCTTTCACGCTGAGACTGAAACACAGCATTCATACAAAGCATGTCAAATATGAACTACGGGTGTGAACACCGATTTTCTCCGACTGCTATTGTTTTATATAAAACATTGCACAACAAACATTTTGCAACTGAAAAAATGTGCACAAGAGTATACATTTAATGGTTTGCAAAATATTTTTAGCATTGTAGTTTTTGACAACAACAAAATTTTGGTGAATTCTTGTCGCAAAAACGTTTGATGGCTATGAGAAAATCTCACTGGATGAATTATGCATAAACCTTATTATTTATGCATGACAACATTTGTTGTAAATTGTATACATTATGCCTAATAATATTTATGCTTTATAATGACGAAGTTGTCAAGATTATGTCCAGAAAAAACTACACTTCTATGATTGTAACATCTACTGTTTGTATGTTTTAGATTTCGATCAGATCTTGGAGTGACTGTCGCAGCCTCAGAAAGATAATGTGGAATCATCCCACTCGAGATCTTTCACTTTCTTCACCACAACTTCCTCTTCTTCTTCATCTGAACTATCACAATCGTCATGGTAACTGTCAATATCATCATCACTATCAGAATCATCTCGCAATTTCATAGGAACATCTTCATATTCAAACACCTTCAAAGAAAACAAATTTGGTAAATAATAATAAATATTTATAATAAATATATAATAATATATATATGATAAATTATGGGAATGCCCAACGGAGAGTGAAGAATTTGGTAGAGGGAGGGACTTGGGACGAATGTGAAACTGTATACTGCTATAACGTTTGTGTTTGGGGACTATTTTCAGGTCCATTACTAGAAAAAATCTGGGGACGTCAAATTTTCATAACACCAGTAAATTTAAATAGTGTTGAATAATTTTCTGTTAGAGTTTTTTTTACATCCTTTTATAAAATGTATATCTCTCATATTTATCCAGGTTGTGAGTATGATGAAATTACAAGTTCCCCAAAATAGCGTAAAAAGTATGCCATTAAAAACGGAAATATAGCTTTTGCCCTGAGCGTCCCTCTGTATATGAGGATGGGGTCGGGGGTGGGGGAGGGGATATTATGGTACGTAATATAGATTTTACCTTTTCTCTTACCTCCTTCTGTTCCATCGGGTTGACAGTGATGTTGAGGGCCGAGTTGTCCCACTCCATCTCCATCATCTTGTCCTCCACCTGTACTACGGTACGCCTGTGTGCCGCCCGGATACGGATCACACCCAGGATGATCATGAACAGCAGGAAGCCCACACACACCACAATGATTGCTACCATTCCAACATCTGGGGGAGTAAAAAGGCGATAAAGGATTTACAAGCTGTAGTAATACATGTACTTCATTGTAAGGTTTGAACAGTGGCGACACTACATGGATTTCCCAAACCCTTGTTTGATCTATTTTTTTTCCTTCTTGATTCACATAACAACTTTTCTCCGACCCTTCCCAGGTGTGTCTCCCGTCTTGCCATCTTCGGTACTGTTTACCAATACAACATGTACCAGGTTCTTTTCTCTTTATACAAAGGATATCAAAATTTTGTAACATTTCCTTCTTAGATTTAGATATCAATTCTATAAAAAGTGATTTTCTATACTACATGTACTGTTATTATTTCTGGTAGAAATCCTAATTTCTTTCATAGATGTTTTATAACAATAAGACCAAATCTGGAGCCAGTAAGGCTGATCTGTTAGAGTACTAACTAGGTGAGGCGTGGGCTGCCACTCCGACTGGAACACTACCGCCAATGTTGTTTTCCAGCTTAAACTGCTGGATGCGGTTCTCCTGGGCATGGGCATGAACAATTTTCCTCGGCTCGCTGTGAACAGCCACAATCTGGGAACACAAAAAGTAACTCGGTTACAGAAATTTGAATTTGTCAAAATGTCAATCTTATTGATAAATATTCACATAAACATGATTATCTTGAGAAAAGTTTTTCTCTAAAAATGTTTTATACTTCCGTTATATTTTTAATACCAACATATTTGCATGTACAGCATTATTTCTGTGAACAAAAACCTTTGCATGTTTTGCTTTTGTTCTTTTCACTCTTGAATAAGATGGAGGAACTAATATTATAGTGAACAATACAAAAGCAAATTTAACATCAGGCAAATTTGTTTTGAAAACATAGTGGGTAAAATAATTGGTGAAAATATTGCAGTTTGAAGTATAATGCTGGTGACTTAACTTGTCCAGTGTTTCTTTTATATGAAATTTATTTGCATTTGAATGTCACTACCTTATGCAAGATAATAAGCGGACATTTCCCTAATCAGTTAATTTACTGGTTTTGTAACCTTACCAGTATTGTGTGTATTGAAGCCTTCACTGCATTAGCTTATGTGACATATGTTGATTTTGACTGGGTTTGTGACCTTAACCCTTTCACCCCTATGTAACTTTAGTAGAGTCTACCATGCATTGATCTGGATGAGTCCAGTATGGTCTACAGTGGTGAAAGGGTTAATTAATTTGGTGTTGTCCGAATGTGTGACCTAAGATTGACCTTGACTGGTTGTGTGACTTTACCTTTACCTCAACTGGTTGTGTGACCTTACCTTGACCTCGACTGATTGTGTGACCTAACCTTGACGTTGATGAGTTATGTGACCTTAACTTGACCTCAACTAATTGTGTCACCTAATCTTGACCTCAACTGATTGTGTGACCTAACCTTGACCTCAACTGATTGTGTGACCTTATCTTGACCTCGCCTAGTTATGTGACCTTACCTTGACCTCTAGCTGGTTGCTGATAAAGCGACGACTCTGAGAGGAGCAGCTGAGGATAAATTTTCGGCTATTGAGAGAGTTTCCCTTGTTGTGGAAAAAGTAGAGTTCCTGCATCACTCGCTCGTAGTTTTCCACAGAATCAGCATCTGTGGATAAAAAAATGTATATTCATAACATAACTGCACAGATTTTATACAAAATGTATTTAAATTGTATGGACTGGGCAGTTGGTTTGCCATGTCAGATATCTGGGACCTAAAATTCACTTAATTAGTTTTTTTAGTAACTATTGAAAAGACTTAAGCATCTCTGGGTCAACGTCAGTATAAAAAAAATGAACAAAGGGCCATAACTGTGCATATTGCATGACACTCAGCCATCGAAATTTTGCAGTGCAAGTGATTGAGTATAGGAGAGACTGACTGAGAGACAGACAAGAGTCTAACCTACAGTAATCTATGAAGGTCGGTGTCTTATAACAGGATTCTTGACAAGATGAGTGTAAGATAAGGATTGTGAAATATTGTATTTATTTTGCTAATTATCCCAGAAACTGAGAAACCAGATGAAGTGGGAGAAAACTTAACGTAAAGTCAAATTTTCTGTAAATTCCAACATGTTTTCCCTCTTTGCAATTTTATCCCTTAGTTTTCTATCTCTATCAACACCATAAACATTTAATCAGATTCTAATACATTCAGTAAATGTTTTGTTTTGTTCAGGGTTTAACATCCCCTGACATCCTAAGTCACATGTTGAGGGGATTTATTGTATCGGTAAACATTCATTTTTTTTCGGGGTTTGACATCTTTCGACATCTAACGTTGCATTATTGGGGTTTAACATCCTTGCAACATCTAACGTTCGTAATGCCATATATTATGTCGGTAAACATTTTAATAACTCTCACTTGTAATGTCAAGGCCACTGTTGGTCTCGCTTCCCTCCAGGTGCATGTTGAATCGTGAGATGGTGCTCTCTGGGAGACTGAGGTGCTCTACACGGAAGTCCAGAGGGGGGTCAGCCCGAATGGTACAAGAGTCTAGCAGGATGTTCTGTTGTGGGATGTCCTTGTCCACTGTTTCCTCTGTAATGGCAAGTAAGCAAGTTTTTAAAAATAAATCCTTCTTCCCTTCATGATATGCTGTAGCATTGGTTATTTTCCAAGAAATCACCAAAACTTCAATTATTGGATGACAATACTGGCCAATGTATTAACACTCATATTGTTGAGAATCAAATAAAAATACATGAACATTTACATTTTGAATACACTCAATGATTTCATTTCTTTTTGAATTGAAATCATCGTCACAAACTGGAGTTCAAATACACTTGAATTCACAATAAGAACAGCAGGGACACAGCAAATTGGAAGCCATGCTACGCCGCAGCTAAACACATCACAGGTTATAGACTAATTTGGCTGAATGCCCCAGAGGTTACTTCCACCTAGGCTTAATACACACTAAGTTGTACCTGTTTACCAGGGTTAAAAAAACACTAGGGTCATGTAAAGTTTAAAATATGTTAGAAGTCACCAATGTTTATTAGGTTGGGAAAAGTGTAAAGTAAAGAAACAACTGAATTTGTGGTCCTACAGTTAGAAGAATGGGCTTACGTTGGTTCCTGGTACGAGATAACTTGTCTTGAAGTTTCTGTATTTTTGATGGCATTGTTCCATCTTCTTCTTCTTCATCTTCATCTTCATCTTCATCCTCCTGTGGAGAAAGTCCGTTGTGGAGCAGGAAGTCGACACTGATGTGAAGGCCAGTGAAGATTTTCTGGCCGGAGAGAAGTTGGGAAGCGCTTGACTGGACGATGTGGGGTCCAGAGAGGGAGATTGAAGGGATTGGAGCAGGGTTGACCATAACATAGGTCTCGGCCACCGGTAGGATCACTTCTTTACCGTTACAGCTGTAAACAGTACAGATAATTCAAATAACAAGAATTCCACAGGAGTGGATGTGTCGCCTGCCCAGCGTTTTTAGTGAGAAAAGTGTTTTGTTTTTAGTGAGAAAAGTGTTTTGGCTGGAGTTATCGTGTAAACAAGCAAAACTTAACAGCAAAAACGATGAGCAGCGTTGCCATGTTAAGTGTGATATGCCAAAACGCGGAAAGTTGAAACTCGACAAAAAAACACCTGTAATATATGTTGAACATTATTGCTTCTAGCATTACAGTACAAAATTTGAAAGGAATTGATTAAAAAATTTCTTGCATTTACTACACAATGCCCTTATTTGGCAATAAAAGGGGCATAACTCCACCAAAAATACATGTAAACTTCTGAAATGCAAACACGTCCCAGCTTTATTGGTATGTAATATCTGTACCAAGTTCGAGTTCAATCAACCCAAGGGAACTCAAGTTATCGCGCGGAAACCTTGTTTCAGACGAGGCAACCGACAAAGTAATACCTGTATGTTGTTTTGCGTTGCAGTCGACACAAAAATCACATTATTTATTTGTTATTTTTTAAACGATATCCAACAATTTAAGTAGGTAATTTGGCTGGATTATGAAATGGTTGAATTAATTGGACAATATTTTATTGAGATAGAGAAAAATGTCCCCACAAAACACTGCATGCCCAGATAGTGGGATAACCCCAGCCCCTATTCATGCGTTTTCATCTGCTCTGTTATAATCCAGACTAAAACTTTCAAGACAATCACAGATTTGTGAACTTTCAAATAATAATTGCCTCGTTAATGATTTTTTCCCCCCGACACCAGAAAGTTTGGCCTAATAAGGTTGTTACAGTATAAGAGTTCTCCTTCAGACACGGAAAGTTTTGCAACACTGCTATTTTCATAATTTCTGTTCTGTTTTAAAAAGGAATCTGGAAATTCAACAGTGAACATTACTAGTCAAGTCATACAATATATAACTAAGGATCTCGAAAGTAGCATGAATCAAATATTTGTCCGCATAAAAATAAACAACCAAGAACACATACTGGACATTGGTTGCAATGTCAATGTTTCGGCGCCCTGGGGTTGGGAACTGCCGAGCGTTGAGGTAGACAATATCTCGAACCAGATTCTGCACTTTGGTCACATTTTTACCCTCAATGGTGAACTCTGTCATTTCGCTGTTGTAGCTCACCGCCTGTAAGTAGCAAAACAATTGCCAAATTTTAAACTGTTTGGTTATAAACCAAAAATTTTAACGGTCGCGCATGCATAACAGATGTCTGCAGAAGTACATAAAACCACAATTTACTCAAAATAATTTCATTAAATGTATGGAGTTTTGCTATGGAGCAACGATTATGCTGGCTTAAAATCACATGTTATACAAACTCTCAGCTCAAAAACTTGTAACACAATATATGAATTGTTCAACTGAATATTTTCTACTGCAAACAAATTTCACTTCATTTAAATAACTTTTAATCAAGGAATGGACATACCTTCAGATAAACAAGAACGATCATTATAACCTTCAGATAAACAAGAACGATCATTATACAAACGAACATTTAGAAAAATTAAGAAAGCAGTCACAGGATAATCTTTACCATATTACACATGCTTAACTCATTCACCCCTGAACACACATTTGAACTCTTCCAATTCAAAGGTTGGAATAGTTCATCATGAAATTTCAGGGGTGAATGAGTTAATATTACTTATTCAAGTTGGGATTATAGTAAAGATGATAACGTAATGATATTCATATAACTTACGGAACCAGTGAGCAGAGCTTTTGTTCCCTTGAAGTCAAGGTTTTCCTTACAGCTGTTTAGGCAGTGAATGACACGGTCACTTTCTGTCTGACCCTTCAATATGGACAGACCTGCCAGGAATCCCTGCAGATAATGCTCAAACTTTTCTTTACCACCTGAAGGGAGAAAATGTTGTTTACTGGTATGGCAGAGCGAGAAATCATTGTTTATTAGGTCCCTTTTGTGTATACGGTTCAACCAATTGAAACGGTTGAACATGGAAAGAAAACAACAGGCACAGATCTGAACCGAGGCTGACCTCAGGAATATTTGGCACATGTAGATTGAGGGGTCCAGACGTAACTGACCGAAACTAAAATGACAATTGCTAGTTTGCGTTATTTCTTTCTAAAACAATGTCAATCCAGATGCAGATTTTAAGATACTATATATAATTTAGTGGACGCGTGAAAGAAGGACATATTATTCTTGATATATATTGTTATTTATTCTCCGAAACTGTGCATTTTTTTTAGCTCTGTCTACAGTTTGGTCCAAGTGTGTTCATTTATCGTGGACTATTTCTACGCCACATGAACCGTTTCAACCGGGATACGTGAATGTAACCTTGGTAATACACAGGGAGAAATCATTGTTTACTGGAATAGCACAGGGAGAAATAATTGTTAACAAACTGTGGTAGACTTATTATTTATTAAGAAGTAAAATAAACCACATGTGGGATGATAAGGTGGTTGGGTCCTAGAGTCAACCTACCCTGCCAGCAGGCACCAACGACAAGCTTGGTGGAATGGACTTTGATGGTGTTGCGGAGAGGCCAGTCATCCACTACCTCCATGTTGGCCTGGTCAGGGATCAGTAATTTGCCGTCAATATACATCCGCACCTATCAATCAAAACAACAACAATTTGTATATCAATATAAAACGTCTGGATGGTCAATTTTGTAACCATGTATTACAAATGTGTCAAACTGTGGAAAATATTTTTCTTGTATACACATGTACAAAGTCCATGTCTGCAGAAATTAGTCACCAAACAAAACTCCAACACTGATAGGTCAACAAAGGCCATGGTCTATATATTGGCAAAAGTGACCTTAATCTTTGAATTATTTTAACTCATTCACCCCTGAAATTTCATAATGAACTATTCCAACCTTTGAATTGGAAGAGTTCAAATGTGTCTTCAGGGGTGAATGAGTTAATCTTTGAATCTTTTTAATTCCTTATTGCACATCTATATATCAGAGTATATCACCATTCAAAATTGCAAAACGTTTAGTCTTTTGGATATTGAGATAATCTCTCAAAATGAGAGTATAGCAGAGGACGATCAGAAAGACAAACACTGTGATTACTATGGGGCAGCCATATCTCCAGTGCAGGATCTTAAATATACATGTTCACAGCTTTACAGACACCTACGTGTGGGTAGTCAACACTGATGGCATAGTAATGCCACTCCCCGTCATTGATCTGAGGGATGCTCCAGCGCCACTCTGCAGGCTTAAACACCTTCATATCCTCCTCATCCCCAGCCTCACGTCGCAGTAGAAACACGAGCTTCTCGCCATGGACGAACCACGCATAGTGGTGACGGTTCATACCTAAAACAAAAGTCGCATTCACATCATAGATTTTACATAAGCTGGTTTTCGTCATAAAATACCTGTAGTCAGCTAGAAAATGTTCAGAGCATTTGAAAGGTTCTCTAGATACAAGTATCATATATATATAATACTTAGAAATATATTACGAAAAACCCTTATATAATGCCAAATTATCACTGAATGAAAGATGATGGCAGTGTATCAAAACATTGACTGCTTTTTACAAAGGTCATCATGTGATATGACCTATGACCTAGGACTGCCAATGTTTACCATCGCCATCAGACATGCACACGATGTGTTCCTTCTCTGGGCGGCCGTCAGGACTGACGGTCCAGTCCTCGAATTCATGCTTCATCCATGTTGAAATGGTGAAGTGTTCGTGCAGGGAGTGGTTGAAGTGAGAGGCGGGCACCTCCACCGCATTTGTCTGCCCGTCGAAGTAGAAGATCTGGTCGCTCTCGTGGCCGTCGTCGACGTGGAGCGTGCTGGTGTAGGTGGTCGTCAGACTGGGAGAAGGCAACAGGTCAACACTGTTGTCGTTGGCACCTGGAGGTGATGAAAACAAAGGTTATATTAATAGAATACATGATTAAATTTATGAAAACAATAAGTCATCTATAACATATGTGCAATATTCATGTCTTGTGAAAAATCAGTATCCGCTTCATAGAAATTAACTTTAATTCGTATTGTACCTTATTATATAGCACATTCTGCAAAACTTCTTAATCAGACCTCAATCATTATATCTTTAAGGGTATATGCTATGTTTCCCGAAAATTTGTCTCCTTTTATAAAAGAGTTCCAGGCAAAGAAATTTGTAAAACATCTTTCATGAATTGTGATATGTATTTAGTGAATTAATAAATGACGCATCTGGAAGGCACAAAGGTAAAACATTCCAACAATTCTGAATGATTTGATAGTTTGTTGAGGGAAAAACCAGACTGAAATCTGTTATTGCAAAATTTTCCTGGAACTTAAGTATATATTGGGTTTTTTCACTATTCTTATTATATATATATTACCATATTTTTGTTTGTTTTTACTTTTTGTTTCGTATGTTAAATATCACAACTTACAGCTGATATACATATACATAAATGTTACCTCACAAGATCCAACAATGTGTGCGTGTCACCACTGTAATATTTATTTCACACATACATCATACACATGTGATGTACAGCATACAAAGCTAGAATGAATTAGTGTCCAGACTAACGATATAATAGCATCTGTGTGTTGGTTACCACTTCCAAAGGATAATTATTTATACTTTTTAACGTCCTATTAACAGATAAGGTAATTGAAGGCCGTGCCTCCATGTGTGTTGTGTGGAATTGCCTCCTTGTAATAGAGCGGATCTGATGCCGGCATTATAGTGCTATCTCACTGAAATACCATGCAGAAGGCACCCTGCACAGCATTCTGCCCGGTCACATTATGATCAACTTACCACAGAGTTTCCTCTGGGAGACAATGGAGTAGGTGTCACGGTCACATCCCTTGCCGATATGTTTGGTTGCTAGGTGCATTTTGACCTTGACCTTCTGTGGTACACAGGAGTTGTCACACCATTTGAGGGTTGCCCCGGGAACCATCTTGACCTGTCCACTGCCAGCATCATAGTTGACGTGGTCAGGAATATCTATGGATCAAATACATACTCAGGGTTAATCTAAGCCAAGTGACCAGAATGTCAAGCCAAAGAAATTAAGTTGAATGAAGGTATATATGATAGTCACAATTAGTCATTTCTTAGAAGAAAAAATAAATGATATGGACAGACGATGTTAAATAAATGCCTAAAATGCTAAATTACATCATTTTCTGGTTGTTAAGGTATCTGCCAATGATGTTGCTTTACATACCTTGCCATCCACTTTTGCACACCTCCCTCATCTTGATGTTAATGACAGCTTTCTTGGAGCGCTTGCCTCCACAGTCGACAGCTACTAGTTCCAGGATGAAGTTGTGGTGCTGTCTATAGTGTATCAGTTCAGTGTTTCTCAAGTTACCTGGCAAAGCAGACGTTTAACATGTAACACATGAAACTGGAAATGTTTTAATAACTTAAAATCTAAGGCTAATACTAGAGGTAGTCAATGTAGCTTTAAGCTATTATATAGTTTAGCTGTTAATTCAGCTACATCTAATCGGGTTGTCCCATCACCTTGTCAGAAATTTTGGAGAGGTCTGGCCTTTTTCTCCAAATTTGTTCCAGTAGAAGTAATTGGAAAGAAAGGTGGCTGAATTATCTACAAGGAACGTTGAGGGCTTTATGAAGGTGGCTGGATTTTCAAGGCTCAAATGCACTTAGTTCAAACTGCCTACTAAATTTGATATATTGATATAAAATCGACAACTTGACAAACTATACAAACCATGGATTTTTTTTTATAAAAACAGAAAAGCAAACCTCCAAGTAACTAAAAGGCCCTGCACCTTCTATAATTTCATAAACTTGTCTCACATACCAGCTACCAGTTGTTATATACTTGGTATATATTATAACCATCAATAAAATATCTGGAATGCCGTCTTAGACCTTTGCCTGTCTTCGGTGCAAACAACACTACTTTTGACTGCTTGACACAAAATCTTTGCCTATCTCCACTTCAATATATCTCCTTTCACAGTTATGTTGATTAAACTGAAATCTTTTTCCACTGTCAATCATAGTGCTAATGAACAAATTGATTCTTTTAGGTTTTTTTTGTAGAATTGAAATTTTGAATTTTTTCTTTATCAAATTAATTCGTCCCAATAGATATAAAGACAGGAAAACCTTGAAATCAATGACAGGTTCAATTCCTGTATGTAACCTATAGAAACATACCTCGCCGATCAATGGCAAAGGGGACATTGTTGGTGAGGATCTCGTAACCACAGATGCCGCGGTACTCAGGTGAGCGGTCACTATCCGTGGCTCTGACACGCACCAACGAGTCGTAGAAGCGAGCCTCATCCATCTCCACAAAGTAGTTGTCCTGGATGAACTTCGGTGGGAATTCGTCCACATCCTTCACGCGGATGAAGAAAATAGCCCTGTAAAAGGTAATATACAAAATGTATACCATTTTCAATTTGGAAGTAAAATTAGTATTTTGAAAACAAACTTGATCGATTTCTCTTCTTCAGGGCCCGTATTCATGAAACCGTATTTAATGCTCAAGCATGGATTTTGTGCTCAAACCAACCTTCTTGTAACTTGCTTAAATTATGTTAAACGATTAAAAAATCAAATGTAAACATTGAAAACATTTTTCGGCCTCAAGTCTATATCCATGCTTGAGCATGAGAATGGTTTCATGAATAGGGGCCCTTAATTTCTTTTTTATGCAATATATTTCATTTGATTTGGTGGTTTTGGATTTGGTTTATTTGGTTAATTCATTCACCCCTAACTATTTAAACTGGACTTGTCCAGTATATGATTTGGTAAGGTTCAAATGTGACTTGAGGGGTGATTGGGTCAAGCATCCTATCAACAACTAAGGTCATTAAGTGCCTGCCTCTATGTATTTATACTAATGTATACATGAGTGCTGTAGGTGCATGTATGTTGTTGTATTTGCCTACTTGGAATAATGTGTACCTGATGCTTAACTTTGAGTACTACCTCCATGAAATATCATACAGAAGGCACTGAGCAGAGTTTTCTAACCGAGTCACATTATAATGACACTAGGCCCTGGGTAAACTAGTTTTAAGGACTTTGGTTTGTTTGGTAAGGTATATATTTTCATAAACTCTTCATAGAAATTGTTTAAACTGTTTTCAAAGTGTTATCTTTTTATTTTTTTGAAAATTATGTACTTAATCTCCGTTTGTGAAAAATACCGTCTATTGAAAGTGTTGAAAAATCCCTTTCCTATCATTTAAAAATAAATAATATCAAAGGCCGAAAAATTCATACCTATTTGATTCTCTCCTTGGTGTTCCACAGTCATAGGCGATGGCGCTAAACTTGTAGCGAGCCCGTTTTTCGTAGTTTAGGTGAGCTCCCTCGATAAGATTAATCTCTGCCTCGCCGGTTGCCCTGTTCTTGACGTTCACCACAAACGGCACTTCATGTTTCAATGAGATCACATCGTAGCCGCAGATGAATTCTGGAAAATACAATCAAAACATTCAAATTACATTACATGAATTTAACTTTGCCTTTTTCATATTCACATTACAATATATTTATGAAAACCTTATAAAACTTTTCACACAAATTTTATAAAACAATTAATATAAGACTTTCACGATTATTCTACGAAGGCTATAATTTGAAAAGGAACATAACAGACAGATGTTCCGATATTTTTTTTTGTACTGAAAGCTTTCACCTGTCTTATCTGACACCCTGATGGAAACAAAATATTGGTCAAATTAGAAAATGATGTCAGAATAAACTGGTTTTTATTTGAACATAGTTTTTATCAAGTATGGGGTCCAATAAGTTTTTCTGTACCTAATTATGACATGAAGAGCTCTCTTTAAACCGTCAACATTAATTTATTAATGCAATATGTATATATAAGTCGCATTTAATTGGTATTTAATGTATGAATTTTAGTTCAGAGAATTCTAAACATTCTATGCCCTAACAGTGGGCAGAATATTAAATATGAAGCCTTTTTTTCAAATTTGACTTAAAAGTACCACTGAAGTAGATAAATTAATTAAGGAAAAAATCATTCATGTTTTGGTTTTTTACAGAGTCAGAGGCTGTTATTCAACCTAACTTCAATCTAAGATGAAGACATCATTATAAAGTAAATTGGGATACTTATCTGTCTCAACAAATATGTAAAACAAAACCATAAGCAGCTGGCTGACAAATACCCACATACCAGCTGGGTACCTCAGGTTTTGGTTGTAGACCCACATACCAGGGTACCTCAGGGTTTGGTTATAGACCCACATACCAGGGTACCTCAGGTTTTGGTTATCGACCCACATACCAGGGTACCTCAGGTTTTGGTTGTAGACCCACATACCAGGGTACCCCAGGTTTTGGTTGTAGACCCACATACCATGGTACCTCAGGTTTTGGTTATTGACCCACATACCAGGGTACCTCAGGTTTTGGTTGTAGACCCACATACCAGGGTACCCCAGGTTTTGGTTGTAGACCCACATACCAGGGTACCTCAGGTTTTGGTTGTAGACCCACATACCAGGGTACCTCAGGTTTTGGTTGTAGACCCACATACCAGGGTACCTCAGGTTTTGGTTGTAGACCCACATACCAGGGTACCTCAGGTTTTGGTTGTAGACCCACATACCAGGGTACCTCAGGTTTTGGTTGTAGACCCACATACCAGGGTACCTCAGGTTTTGGTTGTAGACCCACATACCAGGGTACCTCAGGTTTTGGTTGTAGACCCACATACCAGGGTACCTCAGGTTTTGGTTGTAGACCCACATACCAGGGTACCTCAGGTTTTGGTTGTAGACCCACATACCAGGGTACCTCAGGTTTTGGTTGTAGACCCACATACCAGGGTACCTCAGGTTTTGGTTGTAGACCCACATACCAGGGTACCTCAGGTTTTGGTTGTAGACCCACATACCAGGGTACCTCAGGTTTTGGTTGTAGACCCACATACCAGGGTACCTCAGGTTTTGGTTGTAGACCCACATACCAGGGTACCTCAGGTTTTGGTTGTAGACCCACATACCAGGGTACCTCAGGTTTTGGTTGTAGACCCACATACCAGGGTACCTCAGGTTTTGGTTGTAGACCCACATACCAGGGTACCTCAGGTTTTGGTTGTAGACCCACATACCAGGGTACCTCAGGTTTTGGTTGTAGACCCACATACCAGGGTACCTCAGGTTTTGGTTGTAGACCCACATACCAGGGTACCTCAGGTTTTGGTTGTAGACCCACATACCAGGGTACCTCAGGTTTTGGTTGTAGACCCACATACCAGGGTACCTCAGGTTTTGGTTGTAGACCTACATACAAGGGTACCTCAGGTTTTGGTTGTAGACCCACATACCAGGGTACCTCAGCTTTTGGTTGTAGACCTACATACCAGGGTACCTAAGGGTTTGGTTGTAGACCCACATACCAGGGTACCCCAGGGTTTGGATGTAGACCCACATACCCGGGTACCTAAGGTTTTGGTTGTAGACCCACATACTAGGGTACCTCAGGTTTTGGTTGTAGACCTACATACCAGGGTATCTAAGGTTTTGGTTGTAGACCCACATCCCAGCTGGGTACCTCAGGTTTTGGTTGTAGACCTACATACCAGGGTACCTAAGGGTTTGGTTGTAGACCCACATACCACCGGGGCACCTCAGGTTTTGGTTGTAGACCCACATACCAGGGTACCTCAGGTTTTGGTTGTAGAAGTTCCAACATATATACATACATGCCAACTTTCCCTTTTTTGGAGTGAGACTCCTGAATTTGGACACTAAAACTGAGCATTTTCAACCATTGAATTTGCTAAACTATTCCTTTTTCTTAAGACCTGAAGATTTCATCAGAAAGAACAGCTCAAAAGATGCAATTTAAAGGTGTCATTTTTTCTCTAGGGTGTATAATATAATTCACACCTTTTATCTATAATTTTCATTCTAAACATGGTAAGTTTTTAAGAGTTGGTATGTTCGCATATATAATATACCAATTCTCAATGAAAAATGAATTACATGGTAAGCAACTGTGCCGCACACTTATACAGAGTTGAATGTCTCACTAAAATCCATATCGTATTTTCACGGAAATAGTTGGGACAAACTTGAGTCTACAGACAAACTGATGAACCAATTACAATTCCAACCCAATCAATAAAGGACCCAAGCTATATAACAGATTTCCACATTTCTGCAGTACAACAGTTAGCTGACAGTAAGCAGGCACACAGTCTTCAATGACTTGTAACCCCCCAGACAAATATCAATCTGACATCTGTTGATTAATTCAGAGGAGATGATTCATATATATGTTATTAGTTATTCTGTCAAATAAAATTATCAGGCTCTCACTCACAGTACGTCAGTAGACCGGATTTCCTTACATTCAAGACCTAACTTCAGCAGTCATACGGATACAATACTCAATTATACATTGGTCAAAGGTTTCACCCACAACCCGCCCTAACTGATGGTAATACTGGGACAATGATGGTTGTGATGACAGCAGTGATCAAGGACATGCATAATCATGGTCTACAACATTCCAGTCGAACTAATGCAAGCTGTACCACATAATGTACCAGTACTCTGCAATTCAGGTCTAGGAGCTTTTACACTTAACCCTTCTTTATTTAATATGTTGTTTTTTTTATTTCCCCCGCATGGTTATAAATGGAGAACTGCCAGGTTTGGGGGGCCCTGGGATCAATTCTCCTGAACATTAACTAGTGTCCTCTCGAATGAGGGCTTCCATATACTTTTTTTTTTTTAAATTTTATTTAATACTTTGTTTTTTATTTCCCCAACATGTTCTTAAATGGAGATCTAGAACTGCCACAGTTTGTGAATCCTGGGATCAATTATCCAAAACAAATATAGTGTCCTCTGGTAGGAGGGCTTCCAAACAACCTTCTTTTTTACCATCTTCACCCTAAAATTACACACTTCTTTAACCCTACAATTTTTTTGATTTAAGGATGTATGCTATGTTTTACATTATACATGTATTTGTGTTAGAGTTATCTCCCTTAAACAATGTCAATTAGCAAGACCTGATAATGCAGAACTTTCACACATTTCTTCCCTTTCATATGTGTCATTAACTCATTAATCCCTGGAGACACATTTGAACTCTTCCAATTCAAAAGTTGTCATAGTTCATTATGAAATTTCAGGGCAGAACCAGCTAATGAACTAAGAAAATATCAATTGCCACTAACAATCATGAATTACATGTATTCCGTCTTTTCGTATAGCAGAGTTATCTGCTTTTTCGTGAGCAGGTATTGATTGTTACGTCATTTGTTTGTGAGAGTAACGTCATCAAATTTTGAGAAAACGACGTAATTTTCTCACCCAAACCAATGACGTAACAATCAATACCTGCTCACAAGAAAGGATAACTCTGAAATACGCAAAGACGGAATACTACAGGTAATCTCTTATAACGACACTCTTAAGGAAGGGAAATTAAATGTTGCAGTGAGGTATCATATTTTTTATCCGTTCTATTTGAAGAAAAAGAATAAATAATTTCAGTTGCATTGTAGAGCAATTTGAAAAGTAATATTGCAGATTGGTTTAATTTCGACAGCATGTGCAATAGAATCCCTCCCTGGTGAGAGGCCAATGAGCCTTGACAACAGTTTGGCCAGGCGTGATGGAGCAGACCTAGGGGTCCAAAACTTTGCCACTGAGTCATCATTGGCCTTACACCACACACTGCAGCCTCTACTGATTCTGTCAAGAAACAGTGTGAAAACATGACACTGTTATGAATTATCAATAAAATGTTATGAATTAATAAATCTCTTTTTTATTAGTCAATACAATAACAATAATTTAACATTTTTTCCCCTCAGTAATAGAAAATGTATGTTCAGGTACATTGGCTCTCCTGTTTCATTTGATTTCTGAAGCACAACTATTCTAATTCAAATAAAAAAAAATATTCTACATTATTGTTTGAATGGTGGACTAGCCATTGTCCAATGCCTACACAATATACTAGACACCTACAAGTACATCCATTATTGAGTTACTATTATTCCCTGGTGAACAGCTATGATGAATGAGAGTTCTTGGAGTAAGACACGAGATGGCAGGGTACTGAGAACACAATATATGACAGGGCACATTGGACACTAAATGGGAGTGGTAATTTGACAAAAGATAGATCGGACAATGTACGATGAAATATTGGGGTTCCATCAAATCCAAGATGGATGGTTCGTTTGGATATCATACAAAATGGAGCAGTCCATTCTGTAAAATAACAATTTTGAAGGGTCCATATATACCGATAAATTTATGAGACTATTGTTTATTGTCGTTGTAATGTAATTATATTATGTGGAATCTTGAACTTAGCCTCATGCACAAAAAAACAAACAAAAAAACCCTGCAAGATCCTATATATACCACACATGCACTCTTCATGCAAATTTCCTTCAATGAATATGCAGAT